GAGAAGGCGCGAACAATGAATTGAATGGACTGGAGTTGATCGAGTGGCATGGCTCGGCCATGCAGGCGTGGTCTCTATTCATATTAAATATATTGTTCCTTCTCTAACCTAACCTTGTTCTTCATCATGTATTGGTAATTGATACGATACAGTGAGTTGGCGTAGTCGATGGTGTGACTTCCACGTAAGATCTTATAGATTAGGCAGTTATATCATGACGAATCTACAAATTTAGGATTAGGTCTATTATTAGAGCAGTACTAATATCGTAGTAGACCATAATCCTACATTGGTCGTCTATATTAACTAATTAGCTTTGATGATTTGTTAACAAGCTGTGATAGCATTTACATGCTTCAGCGACATAGTCTTGTTTAAACATCAAGCTCTAGCAAATATGACCTGTAAATAGCGTAAATATACATTGACTAACAATGCGATCAAGGACTAAATATTTATCTGGATCTAATTCTCAGTGTTCCTTCACTTAACACCTCATCCTGTTTTAAACTACGCACTATCCTGTAATATCTTTTCTTCCGACCACTGCCTGCCTAATTTCATATTCTCGAGTTCCATTGCCAAACAACGAGGATGACACTTCTCCAAAAACATACGGTGAGTTTCAGCTATAAGTTTTCTGCAATCATAAGTTCATTTTAGATGGTTCGTTCAATGACAACCATACAATTATCTGGATTCATTCGATTGTTCTGATCCGAGCGAGTGTCAAAAACCTCAACAGCATCAAGCACCCTGGAATTAATTGCCATACTGCATGTTTTATTCTGGATGCTTTTGGATCAATACTACTCACGAATAGCGTTATATATGTCGTCCACTGAATAATCTAATTTTCAAAAATAACCCAGGCGAGTTCAACTATTTTACTGGATGATTTTTTTTACTTAACATGTATATGTTTTCCGGTCCCTTTTGCTATGTATTTGTAAGTGTCCCTAGGCTAAATGCAGTAACTCCTTATGGAATGTTTATCACGCATCATATTCCTGCCTGAAGTTTCACAAGCAGTCTAAACTTTAAAACTATTTTCTGGTCATGTTCATTATTTTTAAATCGTCATATACGTCAACAACCTGCATGTTAACCTGGCCCATACATACGTTACACTATATCTCCATGTCTTCTAAATTTAGAAATCATCTGAATCGCCTTTAACATTTATCAATAAACCCATCATAGTCGTTGTTGCTAATCGTATTTGGGTTTATGGATTGGTTTATCATATTAGCAGCCTAAAATGCGAACATAGTTTAGATAATAAGATTAAAAATTTAGGTACTGTCAACTGCACTAGTAAAATAACTAAATCATCAGGTAGTTGTTGGCTAAACAAACGTTTAAAATCAAAACTCCGTAGCCTGCTAGAATTAACACTAAACGAATATTTCTGAATTGAAATTTATAATTAAATTAGGCGTCTCGGATTCTTTAACATTATAAGTTTCTGATGATTTCGAATCACCTAAAGCAACAATACCTATTTTTCCACTGACTAATCCTCAGTCAACACTATAACTAGTTAAATTTAATAGTTTCAGGATATCGTCATAAAGCATTGTCATAACTTGACAATCACGTAATATGACTGATAAAATTAATAAAACTATTAACGAAATCGGTCAACAAATTGACTTATAATTACCATTAAATGGTGTTGTTTTCTTGGTATCTTTATCCATCACAGATGATTACAGTATGTTTCTCTATCAGTTGCTCATTCAATAAATATCTCAAAACCTTGTCAGTCTAATTGATGGTTTAGCGACACAATCATGCATGCAAATAATCAGTATAAGCAGTCGAGCAAATCTCCTGCAAACTGAAAACATCAATGTCGAATTTACCCCAACACTGACTAAGGTTCAAGCCATTATCATAGACATGAGTTGGGAGTGTACACCCCCTGGTTACAACTTATGTTCTCCCTGATAATCACATGAGCATCACTCACTATTAATCATCTTGTAAAAACTTATTTAGCTAAATACATTTTGCAGCACCACATCACTTCGTAATATGACACAGGTCTAACTGATTTTAATAACTTGTAACCACTATATCTCAATTAAATCGTGTTCCGCCTTATGATAAACTGCATACTTGCAACTAACTTGTATGTCCAATCACTCGGCAAGTATAAATACAAGTAGTCTGCCACAGATCAGAACATTGAGTCTAGAGCATGTCTCTTACGAATACGCTCATGTTTAACGATTTGTTCCTAGCTATCTGTCCAAAATTCATATAATCATCACTCACGTATTTAAATTTTGTTTTGATGAACATTCATGTGTATTAGTAGTATTACTAAATTCTATCACGGTCAAGTAAAAATGAGGTTGAGAAAATCTCCCCGTAACTAAATAAACCGTATCAAACTAACTAGAACACTAGTTGGAATTCTTTACCATGGTAATACTTTTGTTCCTTCAGTTAGCCTACTGATACAGATGCAATTGGAATTCAACTCATATGGACAACTTACCGGCATAATCGTTATCCGATTTCATAATTTAAACCAAAACTAATACCAATATTAACATTTCTACAATATTCATTACTTTAATATTTCTAAACACAAAATAATTACTGCCTATAAGTCAAGTTATTAACACGCATCGTTTTATTATTATTATTATTATTATTATTATTATTATTATTATTATTATTATTATTATTATTATTATTGTAATCCCATTTTTTATAGTTCAAATAATCTTCAACCAAATTTTCATTTTAAGCGTGTTAATCATGAAAGCAGATATTTTAAGATTATTACATGTATTTCCCGACCAGATGCTGCCGCCTTCTTTTTGATTTATCTTTCAGCTTACCAATACCCGGAGGATTCTTATTATCCTTGGTAACCTCCGGCGCGCGACGATCCCATCCAATTTGGTATCGAACCAACATCACGTTGATTCTGGTGGGAGAGTAGTGTAGTGGCATTGGACAATAGCCACACAATCCACAAAGCTGTGAACACGAGACTACTCAGAAAATAGATATTCAATATTTAACGCGGAGAAATACCTAACAATGGAGAAGGCGCGAACAATGAATTGAATGGACTGGAGTTGATCGAGTGGCATGGCTCGGCCATGCAGGCGTGGTCTCTATTCATATTAAATATATTGTTCCTTCTCTAACCTAACCTTGTTCTTCATCATGTATTGGTAATTGATACGATACAGTGAGTTGGCGTAGTCGATGGTGTGACTTCCACGTAAGATCTTATAGATTAGGCAGTTATATCATGACGAATCTACAAATTTAGGATTAGGTCTATTATTAGAGCAGTACTAATATCATAGTAGACCATAGTTCTACAGTCCTTTACTTTGGGTTTCAGACAAATGGTATACAATATTTATCTATTCCATCCCGTCCCAATATCTGGCTAGCTAATATTCCGGTAATTAGAGACTGTCATGTGGACAAACCGATCGGTCGATAGGGATGGATCGATAAAAGACGAATGGAATAAGTTTAAGGATATATTCGAGTCCGTAACCACTGTTTATCCCATGGTCAACACGTAAGCTGTCACATTGTCCTTCATGGAGTAATAAGGAAACCCGAAAACACTTCTGGGAATTATTCTTGTCGACAAGACACAAATCATTTAAGTGTAAATACCGAAAAATCTGGAATATATGCAAAAATACCACAGATATATACCGTACTATTTACGGAAGACAGTGGGTATGTAATAACCGTACTTGTCCGAAGCGATTGTTTTTGTACGTTAAATGGAGGACAAAACGTAGTGATGGTGTTCCAGCATTACTGTTGCGCGAATATTCAGATTCACTAGCTGAATCAGATCTGGGAAAGGCTGAGATTATCAAACTATTTCGTCGAAATCTACTCCACATGCATTGTTAAAAATACTTATCCTGGTCACACCACTGAGATACCAGCCATAGGACCTGTACATGTGACTGGGAAGACTGTTCTTCCACTGATTATTAACCTCGAACCTTGCAAGATACCGGGCCTTGATGGGTTCCATCCACGATTGCTATCATCTCTCGCAGACGTTATTTCAAGACCATTCGCGATGCTCTTCGACATATCCGTTTCCCTTACTCAACTCCCTAGGGATTTGAGAGATGGTCAGAGACAGATCGTATCTAACCACCGGCCTGTTAGTCCAACCAGCATAGTTGTTGCGTTGCTTGAAAAGATAATTTGGGTTAAATTACTAGATCTCATAGAATTGTACAATCTGTTAACTCCCGAGCAACACGGGTTTCGAAAACAAGCATTCATGTTTGACCAACTTACTCAGTGTGTGAGAGGATCGGACAGTGACCCAGACAACATTCAGTTTGTCGATGTGATATTCATAGACCTTAGTAAAGTTTTGACAAGGTTCCATACTTGGGTTTTATCTAGAAGCCCTTGAGCTTCGGAATGCTTTGACGAGGAAATGTTTCGAATTTTATATCTCACCTATGTAAGATCACACTTGGAGTACTGTATCCAAGCAGCCAGCCCATGTCTGATAGAGGATACTAACTCAATTGAGTATGTTCAGAGTGTGGGAACAAAATTAGTGAATGGTCTTTCTAAAACTTTTTAAAACTCATAAACTTTCTCCCCTTGTCGTATCGTAGAACGCGTAGTGGCCTTTTACTGGTATTTCGTATCCTTAATTACGATTTGGGTGTTAATATGTCTTATCTTCTTGTTCTCTCCAGCAGCAATAATCTTCGAGGTCATGGCAAGAGAGTTCACAAATCACGACATAGTACAGTTCGGATTTTCTCATCGAGTGGCCAATGACTCGAACGCTTTACTCGAACAAGTGGTACTAGCCCCATCAGTGAACATTTTTAAAGAGAAATCGGACATTCAATACAAGGCAATCTGTCAAGAATAACGCAGATTCATCAACTAACTATCATTATTACTGAAGAATGATATTGGATATTGAGCAACAGAATGGTTACTAATGTAAATTGCGCGTCATTCAGTTTTTTATTTTTAATACCGTTACATTTTCATAATGCGCTTGAACCTTTATTCTGTTAAACCGTCGTTTAGATTATCAACTTGTTCTGATTCTTCATTTGAGTCATTGCCACTTGATAACGACTGCTTTCGTGAATAAATATGAGCGCGTTTAACAGGTTGTTGAGTTTACTTACTTTTTCTCGTGAGAAAAAATATGTATATTTTTGGCCTCTGTCGGTCGTTATACATGGTACCTTAAATAGGGAATAATTGTAGCTCATTCACAACTTCATCCAGGGCTTCATGTTATGAATCGGTGTAGTTGAACCACGTTCACTAAATAGGTTGCTTAACCATTCCGTTACTTTGGCACAGCTGATTAGTAATGACTGATAAATCTCATAATGGCGTTTCTGATTATGACATGCTGTGAATCATTTGGTAAAACTGCATTCGTTTTTATGACTAGTTTTGCGTGTTTTGCGTTAGGAGTCAAGTTATTTAAATTTGCTTTGAGTGGCTAATATTACCGTTTAATGCCAATAAATATATACATATGCATACATATGTGTTAAGTACCAAGTGAAAATGGAAATCAGACCTTATGATATGCGAAATTCAGCATAAATGGTGTGGGTGAAGCTATAATGTATAGACGAGCTTTGAGCGACGTTAAAGTGACTCTTAGAATGTCGACCTACTTTCTGGGTCTAAATTAAGGTTACAAAGCAGTTTGAAGAATAAAAATTATGATTTACAGTTCACGGTTAAAGGTAGGAATTGTAATTAGGGTCTCCACCACGAACTGTCATCAGTTAAATTGCCAAAACGCTATTCGGCGAATTGATAAGTGAATTTTGCTCTAAAATCCGAAACCTGTTATCCCAAATCTGATTAGTTCGTCCATAAATTATAATCTCACGTTTTTGTTAAAAACTTTTCTGGCTTTTATACTGGCGTCGGCGTTTCCGATCTCTTATTGGGTTTATAGGGTCACTTAAGTGTTACTCAGCACAGCGCTTTATCAGTTGCTAGTCAAAATTTTGTCAATGAAGATTTCACAATGTACTAAGTTTCATGAAACAGTTCAGTCTTTAAGGCTATTTAAGTTGTTATTGACATCCACAACCAGTTAACACTAATTAATCTCTCATGACACCATATGATGACAGTCAAAACATTTTTTCAAGGTACTTATGTATAATGACATGCACCTTATTTACAAGCGATAGAGATTCATCTTACAGCGTGTTAACATATGAATATTCCACGACGTTATAATCCGTCTGTGTATATATGACCTACTGTTCAACAAGATCGCTAACATTGGTGACCACCCTTATTTTATCTTTTCTAACAAACGGTTTGAATATTTGTAATCATTATCTTACCTCATACTTTTTCATGGCTAACATATATCTATGGAGGCCACTAAATGTATATATAAGCTGTTAACCCTGCTAAAAGTCATAAGAAAATGAAATATTTTGTGCAATCCCAATGTGATCCAACAATATGAATTTACATTTCATGAAACAAAAGTTGGTTTCTTAAACTATCTGATCGATCTTTTTTTTATGCAGTGCTGCCCATTACTGTAAAAACGTGTTTATAGTTTAGTTAGCTACTTAAATTTACCAATACTTATTTACTCTCGGTGACTTGAGTCTGAGCCAAAGGAGAATTTATTTGTAGAGGTATGATTTAAAACCCATAGGTATGACTACATGATAAGACTGCACACTACCAGTAACTCAAATAAATCAAATAAGTCACTATGACAGTGAGGTTGAGACAAACTTAGATATTTTAGAAATTTGTGGCCCGAAGTGGAAGGATTAACAGAGTAGGTGATGTAAAAAAATAAAAAGATGCTAATTTGGTTTTATAAACAATATCTAAGCGATTATCAACAGTATCGCACTACAATTGGATTCAGAGAATTGTGAGCAAAAACGGAAACATCACTTTACAATATCCAGTAGATTACTTGATTGCTTAGACGGTTAATCAATTGTATCCATTTACAACTGTAAATACATCTTACTTTTTCTCTCTTTTAGATTTCTACATGTATATTTTTACCACAATACCTCGATAACATACATTTAGAATAGGCCAGAAAATTCAAATATTGGACATCATAGATGATACAAACTAAAAGTTCGTGGACTCCATTGGTGAACAAAGACGCAAATAAAACGGTATTGTTTTGTTTAATTCCTCCATTACTTGTCAGTTTTAGCTTTTTGAAGAACGAAAACATCTTATTTTAGCTTGGGTATGAAATAAGATCACGTTTTACATAATCTTTAGTTTGCCAAATGGTCAGAAAGTCAAAGAAAGGAGTTAATGACGAAACTTTTTGAGTTATGCACTCAGAAACAACTTGAGTCACTTTTTCACAATATAGAAAATAAAATTCCTTTATACCAAATAGATTTTACTAGAATACTACCAAGAGTTCTATGCATTTATCTGTTTTCTTTTCTGGATCCTAGAAGTCTCTGTCGCTGTGCACAGGTAAGTATTAGCTATTCATTGGATGTCTTCTAGTTTTTTTAACAAAGACATTCAATTTCATAAACCAGTTAACAACAATAATATTGTTCATATACTTATATAGTGTCAATTACTTTCTGTACATTTCATATAAACATTGTAAAGTAACATTTCTTAAAGGCTTATAGAAAAGGAAATTAATAGCTCAGTAAATACACGCTATTGATGTTATATCCATTGTTATAATACAAAAACTCATGGTCATGAATAACATTTGTACATAACGTGAGTTCCTAGTCGCATAACTGGTCTATAGTATAAATCAGAACAGTGGAAGCACGTTCAAAATTAAATGTTACCAATATTTTCTGTGTGGTCATTATGAACTTGAAAAATCTGCTCACAACTAAAGAAAGGTAACAAATTCAATTGCATATTCTGTATCCAAGTATACGAATATTAATCGCTCTAATTAACTCCAACCATTTGAATAAGTTTGTATGCGTTGACCTTGTTCTGGGTTTGGATGTCGCGGGGGGGGCGTATCGTGGATGCGCACTGCCGGGGAGTCCCATACTAGGACAAAACGGCCGTCCAGTGCTCCCACATTTTCCAGGGTGGTCTAGCTTCAATTGAGTCATGGTTTCAACCAGTGAAATCCATACATTCTCTAAATTGACCTCCTTATTTAATCCGATTAACTAGACTAATTGATATTATAAGGTTAATGGAAAATGTCTTGAGAATGAATATTCTTCAAATAAACTAGTTCACTAGACCACGTGCATAAAAAGTACATGGAATTTATGAAGTGTGTTTTATATGTGAATTGGTGTAGTGATCAGTCATTGTGTTAAGTTGTTAAATATAAAAAACCAAGCATATTTTTAATGAATTTCTGCGTCAGTCAGTCGTCAATTATACTGTTGAATCAACTTGTGAAACCACATATTTAGTACAGTAAGTGAATAAATAGGAAAACTGATAGTCATACATATATGACATTAGACATGGATAAAATTTGATAAATAATCACATGAATAAGTAGTATCAAAAGTGTCATATATACTTATTTAAACAAAAACAGATTTGATTAGGTCTATGGTTTGAGTGAATAGCATGAAGCTGACTTGAAAACAAACTCATTTCCTTGATGGTTATTCACCAATAACATGACCATTCATTGTCGCAAACATTTTGATTTGTTATATCAGCTATTTATAATTAATTCGAAGAACAGTCCAGTAGCAAATATTTATCGGTAGTTAAATTGGCTAGTAAACTAATCAACCTAAATATGAACCATTTTTGAGTGAACCTCTTCGTGAAGTATAGATGGCGGTATCTTTGTCGAAAATACTGCGTCATACCGCCAGAAATTACAGTGAATAATAAAGACTTAGTGTTTCATGTAACGGTTTAAATGATTCCGTTGTACAGGTGAGTAGCTATTTAAACTCAGTAGCCAGGTGGATAACCCATTAGCATTTGAAGCAAAAGAGATTGAGTTTTAATCTTGAAGTGAGCATCAATCCCAGGATGCAAGAAAATTTAGCTGAAGAGACCTAAATAGGAAAAAACCTGCGTCTTGTATTCTACTGCTAGCTACATTCAAGTTATTCTCTATGGATATAGTTCATTTTATTATGATTTCAAAATCAAGAGTTTAAACCTCATCATATGTTATTTACTCTGTTTCTTAATCTTATATACTACTAATAACCATTTAGATATATCTGATACACATCTCGCTTGACTGAAAATTCACTGCTTATCAGAAATCGAACATAAGTTTCAGTCAAAAGTCTCTAATTACACGTTGTTTGAAGAGAAAGTAGAGTTACTTTGTCATAATGTTATAAAATGATAGTTAACATTAATCAGTGTTTATAAAATACCATGAATGAAACGTTTTAGTGCTTTGTATTCTCTAGTGGTTCTCTGTTTGCAACTTATTTTTTAAAATCATTTTCTACACTAATCTATCAACGAATTTGTTTGCGACACTTTTCTGTCGTTCTAAATTCAGAATGTTGCTTTAGAACTGGTCTATGTTGGTATTCAAATTGACTGAACAGGATAAATTATTCACTGAGTTGATCACTTTATTTGTCATGAAAGTCTCATTACCCCCGGTGAATAGGAATAGTCAAAATCTCGATTGGAATTCAAAACACTCGGTTGATATTTACCGAATTACGTTACTTGTATTAAGATATCCGTTTAACAACTAAGAGCCGACTATACTGCATAGTAGCCCTCTTTGTATTACTCTACAACTATTAAACATAACCTATGAAAGTGGAGAATCTATTTAGACTGTAACCTTTTAATTATGGATGTCTTTAAAGAACTTCTCGAGTATTATAGAACGCCTGGTTGGGCAATGTTTAAGTTAGACAATGGAGCATCAGGCAAAAGTGCCAAACTAATGGATCAGGTTTTAAATCTGTTATATCCGCATCGCTTATTATTTATTCTTAAAACCATTCCGACAACGCGAATTATGAACACGGAAGACTGGTACAACTGGAGATTTATTCACCCCGAAGATACGACGACGACGGCGACGACGACTACAGTAGAAAATACACTTATTTACATATTGATTTGTATACAATTTTATTTATGAATTAGGAAAAAGTGACATATATGGAAAACGGACAAACTAATAACAAATCGCATGCTGTATATTATGCTGAACATGATTTATGTTAATTTAACACAAGAATATCTTATCTTTAATAAACATCACACTGAATAATTATTATATTGAATTAGAATATGAAAGTAATTTTGGACAAGAATCATAATCAATTAAAAATGTAATATTGTATAAAAGCCTTCAAGGACATATACTAAGGTTTATTGAAGCCTTGACTATACGGAAAATTGAAACCCCCTTTATGTGATGATGAAGACGATTTGAAAGCTCCACGACTAAACCATCCAGCACAGAGAGTAGACCACCATTAAAGCCCCCTTTATGAGTTCAAAAACAATTTGTCCTTACCCTTAACCTACCCTGGTAATAGTGATTTATTATCCAGAATGATTATTTTTATTTATTTATTTCAACAAATAAATATTGGTACAAGAGAACAGCAAATATATATGCGCCACACCATATTTGTGTGTGTGTGGGCTGTGATACTGCCCGGGTGCCCAGACCGAAGCAGGTGGTTTTCTTAGAGGGCCACACCCCGAGCCTTCGGCAAAAGGTCTGACTCACAAGGCAGTGGAGCATCGTGAGGACATGCATTCCCATGGAAGCCGGTGACCAACGACTGGTTCATACTCCATTTGTTCCCTCAGGATACTAGAGCTCATGTGCACCATCAGTTTGGAATCCGGTTAAAGCGCCGGACATCCGTTTTTCTTCCTCTCAATTCCGTAAACAACACCCGTGGTGCGAGAAGGCATTGAGTAGGACTTCCCTGGCAGAGGCTTTATACACGTGGCCGTGTGAGAGCATTTCGAGAGGGAGGGTGGGCCCACTCCACTCTCGGCCGTACCAGGGCATTTGGGGGCAGAATGATTATCACATTGTCTTTGTGTACTTTATTTATTCATTTATTTGTTACGGCTTACCTTTAACCTGCGTAGTTAACCTTTTAATTTCCATATAAAAATGTCTTAACAAGTATATACTGTATGATCAGACTGTTTGAAATGCATTACCCAAATATATCACATAATTCTGACAAACATCGTCTTTTCATTGCATTATCGAAATTGAAGATATAATTTTGCCTCTTCATCTTGTCATATTCTTAATCTTTGTCAACTTAGGTCGTTAGATTGTGTGTTCCATATTTCTAATCACTGTTTACCCTAAAACGTTTTCTCTAGGTATCATGGTATTGGAGATATCTAACTGAATCAAATGAATTATGGGCATCGAAGTGTTTAAGATATGGATGGGATTTAATCGCTTCACATAGTCAATGGGAACCTGGAATTTGGAAGAAGCATTATATTCAAAACATACGTTATCTTCAGTTTCATATTTCAGAGAAAGTGAGCATATTTATTATAGTAATAATAATAATAATGACGTTTTATGATTTGATATATATCGACCATAGTCAAACACAATACTCTTACATCATTCAATGAGAAACGTTTTTTAGTTTACACCACATTGTGACCATACTTAGGTGAACATCTGTTTCATCCTACCATGGGGTTCCCCCCAAAAAATGTATCACCTCTTCTCACAAGTGAATGACTTCGAAAAATGATTCCTGAGATTTTGATGAGAAGCTGTGTCCTGTGGAGTCCAACCAGTTAACCAACGAGTTTATTGAAAGGTGGCTACGTAATATTGTGAATCAATTAAAATCGGATGTGCAAATCAATGGTCTAAAGATTTAGTGTTTCCAGGGAAACTTGGAGATTCTGAGTTCGAACCTCTTTGATAGGGTCATTATAATGTACTGTTGAAGAATCCTATGGTAAGAAAAATAGCTGTTTGGTGCTTCTTAATCTTTCCATTGTTGTTTAAATGACTCATACAATTCTACAATTCCATAAATCTTATACACTGAGAAAAGTTATTTTTCTCTTACCATAACTCGTAATTTACTCCTTTATTGATTTACTGGAGAAAAATTTCTGCCTTCTTAATAAGTTATGGTAAGGTACAGTCATGTTTTCTCTAACTTGGTGCAATATTTTATGATATTAGCTTCATTCCAGATGTAGCATTGAATATCAGTTTTCTTCTCAATATAAAGTTTTAGTAAGTACAGTATTGAAGGTTTTATTTTCCAATGTAACATTATCTCAGGTGAATAAGGTTTGTTTAAATGGTAAATTTTGATTAGTATGACCGTTGTGAACCTTCGTTTAGTGTTATAACTATATTCTTTGTAGTTTTCTATGTGAACTTCATATGTATTTTAAAGTAAGACTGTATTTTTCATTTATATGATGTTCATTAACATCATCATCATCGTCGTCATCATCAAGTGTGTGTGAAATTAGCATATAAATGAGTGTATTCGGTTGAAAGGTATAATCTTTTACAACTTGTTTTGGGTAAGTGTTTATAGAGGGTCAATAAATCTTCATTTGTGCTAGTTCTTGTGTCTTTACTTTGCATAGTTGAATGTGCAACTGTTCCTCTTTCTAAGTATAAACAGTAGGACCGCGGATAGAACAGAGTTGATACATACAAAACAGAAGCAACACCAGATATAACACTTCCGTTAGGATGTTATCAGCTTTAATAAATGAACATGGCTGTTATAATTAATTAACCTTGATAGATAACCTTAGTTGAACTGACAAAGGCAATAAAATGTGTGCATTTCTTAAGGTGACTGATACAGAAGAAAATCTTTTATGTTCATAGGCAGTGTACTCTTTTGGAATTCTATGGATTCGACGAGACAATAATTTTGAACGAACCAATCGATTTTGGCACGAAATTCATCCACTCATTTGGCTAAATAGAGTCTTGGCATTATAGCTGATGACAGTTCGCGATGAAAACTCTAAATCTAATTTCTAACCCTAACCATCGACTTTCTATCATAAACCTTATTCTCTAAACTGCTTTATAACCTTAATTTAGCCCTAGTTAGTAGGTGGACACTCTCAAGGTCACTTTCGCGTCGTTCATATGTCGTCCATAAATTATAGTCTCATTATCTAGAATTCTCAGCACATAGTATTTCAACAAGTTTCCATTTCTTATTTCATGGTTGTTCGTGACGATTACATATTGAGTGATCGCCAGTTAGATGTTAACAGTTCAGTCAATCGACATCTAAATGATGTAATTTCTTTTCGTTGCATGTTGCCAGCAACCACAATATCTTTGATTGAGTTTTTTGTAATTTGTACAACGAAAGATTGTACACTTTTCAGAAACTCACCTGGATAGGAAGTTATGCAATGAATAGCTATAATGATGTATTAAAACAAACAATAGGGTTGAATTGCTCCTTCTGTCTCTCGTTAACAGGTAAACAAGAAAAAGGAGACAATAGAAACAAACCCGATCATAATCGAAGATGTGAGTAAATAGTTTACTACACAATCATATAACCTAATTAACCATTCACTTGGTATTGTTTGGCTTGTATCTTCCCATTGAGGTTTAAAACTGCAATTGATCAGTCTGTTATTGACATATGTGCATACTGTGCGCATGCCTCGATATTGCCTTAATTCACAAGCTTTTCGTAAGCAATGATGGATAGTGGCTAGCAGTAGAATCCAGTTGGACGCGCGTTTAGCCCTATTTGGCACTCGTCAGCTGGATGTTCCTGCATCTCAGAGTTGATTTTCACTCTGGGACTCGAACCCAAACTGATCAATTGCAGTCTTAAACATCAATGGGAAGATACAAGCCAAATAATACCAAGTGAATTTAAATTCACCCTATCGCACAAGCAAGTGGCTATCAGGACTCAGTAGCTGAGTGGATAACACGATGGTGTTTGAAGTGAATGGTACTGAGTTCGAGTCACAGAGTGAATATCAACGCTGAGATGGAGGTACATCCAGCCGACGAGTCCCAGATAGGACGAAACGCGCGTCAAACTGGATTCCACTGCTAGCCACTATCCATCATTGCTTACTAATTAACCATTATTTTAAAATAGGGTCTTATATTCAAATGGGAAATATATTCAATACTGATTTGATTTAAATCTCTCCATAACTAATATCCTTTTTTCTATGATAAAACACTATTGTATTCAATAAAGTTCAACTATTTTTTTTGTTAATTTGAATCAATTCCTTCTCAATTCCCTGAATTCTAGTCAATCAATAAAGAAAATGGTGACACAAAAGAAAGATGTCCAGAAGAACTATTCAATAAAAGATGTCATACATTGAATTTTGTAAATAATCATCATCAGGATCATTATGAGAACAATAATATTGATACTACCATTAATACTACTGCTACTACTACTACTAATAGTAGTAGTACCAGTAGTAACCATGGTGATTATGATAAAAAACAGGATATAAATAGAAACTGTAAGTATATAATAGAATTAAATAATCATTATTTTATACATCATAAATGTATAGATAAAATGATTCAATTAACTGATACATCTAAATTAATACCATGGCGTGCACCAAGTCGTAAACCATCGGATACTCATCGTTTTAATTATTTTGATAATAATGAAACAATCAAGCTAAAATCTTCTAAAAATGAATTTCAATATCGGTAAGAATAATCTCGAATCGAATTTTTGTTCTTTCCTTTATTATTATTATTATTATTATTATTATTATTATTATTATTATTATTATTATTATTATTATTATTATTATTATTATTATTATCTTTTAATGACCTTGTTGATGGTGTATTTTATGAGTAACAACAGCTAAGATGATGAGTCTATTGAAGCTAGACTACCATAGAAAGCCTGGAATCACTGAACGGCCGTTCCGTCCTATTGTAGGACTCCTTAGCAGAGTGCATCCACGACCCTGCTATGTGGGATTCGAACCCAAGACCTCTTGGTCTCACGTACAAGCGCTTAACCATCAAACCACTGAGTCGGCATCTAACGGTGTTAATATCTAACTTCAACTAATCCTCGAAATTGAGGGACACATCCACCATTGTTATCAGTGAGTTACTATCTCACAACTGACTCGGTTGAATTCAACTGGTCACTGCTTTGCACTAGAACTCCAGGATATACATCTTGAAGCCAGTCGTGGATGCACACTGCTGAAGTGTCCTACAGTAAGATGAAACGACTGTCCAGTGCTTCCAGGTTTTCTATGCTGGTCTAGATTCAATTAACTCGTGATCTCAATTATTAAAACAACATATTATCGTTGAATTAGTTTCGTAAGTATATTATTTCGTTCAAAATTGTGACGATGTTTGAAGCTTGAGCCATCTAATATTTTTATGACGAGTTAACATGGAACCATTTAGATGACTTAGACTTTCATCATGGTTTTATTGAGAAAAGATATAGTTATATACATTTAGGAGTATCCAGTACAGTTATTCTGACCCGTTTTATAGGGATATATCTCAGGGCGTGGACGAAACTCATGTACGGTAAACCAATTTACTATTATTACGATTACTGCTGCCAAGCATTCTACACCCAATTTCTGCTAAATGCTATTTATTTCTGTCCTCATAAGTAGTGAGTGTCACACTAGTAGATCCAAAATAATAATTGAAGACTGTTATATTTAAGGGGGTGTGGCGCATATATATTGGCGCTCTCTTGTACCAATATTCATGTGTTCAAATAAATAAAATAATATTTAAGGGGGAGTTGAATTAGTATATCTCAGGTATATTTAGTTACTGGGATTAACTGTTGTTATGTCATCAGGTAATTGTCTGGTTATATTTATTTGTTTACCTAATTAATTGCGCCTGTTACCACTCATGGAGGAGCATAGGCTTCCAACCACGCTTTCTCCATTCAATCCTGTTCTGAGCAATCATTTATAGTTTCTATTCATCCTTATCATATCTGCTTCCGATTCCCGACACAATGTGTTGTTTAGCCTTCCTCTTTTCTATTTCCCTTCATGATTCCAAGTAAGCGCATGTGTAAATGAGAAATAATATAAGGTGCCAGGCTGTATATTGGTTGTGACTACTTAAGTAATGAAATTGTTTAACTTCTCAAAGCTGTCTGCTATAGAGTTTATGGTTAATTCAGTTGACGAAGTATTTCACATTGTACATGTCATTAACACAGAAAATTGTGACTTTATATGGATGTTTACTTCTTGATTTGTGATCCAGCAAGTTTCTTCATGAATTTCCACAGTAATCATCAGATAAAGTTGTTTTGCTTAAATGAACTAAACTAATCTCTCATAAATTGTAGCTAGTAATCTGTTGTTCTTTTGTAGCTGAGCAGGACTTGATTGCCCTTTTGTTTCTCCCACCAACCATTCTTTGTTCTCGTTCTCTTTTCTTTGATCTTTTTAACTTTCTACCCCCACGCATTTCACTTTCGACTGATGATACATACTACTTATATCTGTCAACATAAGTAGCACACACCGCAGCATTATTATGTTGATTTATTTGCTTCTAAAAATGTCAGTTTGTCTCCTAATTTGTACGATATTGTGAACGTATTTATGCACTCACGGTTATTGCTTAAATTAATCTTTCCTGATCTGATTGAAATATTTTATAAAGAAGATCTATATTTCGGACTTTTCGCGGAATGCCCTCTATGTACTCAACTACTTCACTCTCTATGATTTGAATCAACGTAAAAAGAAACTCTCGAAACGTACTTGCATTGTTAGTCAAGTTGTTCTGGAAACCCTGAATAACATCAGCGTCCTCATCAAACAGAAATATGTGATCTGCTTATTTCAGGGAGTTTTCAGAAATGAGTGAAATAATTCGATTCTCTGGTTGGAAATGATTAAATCAATTTAACATACGGATATTATGAAGACATGAGGAACATCACTTGAGATTGCTTTTTTTTATTAAACTTAATTTAATAAATACTGTAAACAAAATTTACCTTAAACTATTTCTTATCTAAAACTTCGCATGTAGCTCTTCTAGAGTTACTGCCGATCCCAAGCTAGGGTAAAGGAGGAAGGTTGGGTATAGGGTTAACGACCCCGTACCGTATAAAAGTAACTCGCTAAAAAACACTAACCAGAAAAAAATAATTCAAATCATTTAAACTTTGCCCTGAGAGTTAGATAGTCTTTACAAGTGATTGATCACTGGGTGGTGATCAATGTCATGCTTGTCTAGTCCTTATTAGTGCAGATCGAATGCTATCGATCATGTTGCGATGCGGCCACCAGTCTAGGTGACTCGACACTGCGGGCACTATGTATTGAGATTTAGATGATGGTTGGAGGTAGTCAGCAGGAAACCCTGGACCCGGGTTTCGTGCTACTTGGCACTCGTCAGCAAGGTGTACCTGTAATCTCGAGGGAACTGGTGCTCCCTGGCAGATTCGATCTCGTGCCACTCAGCTTCACAGTCAGAGACGTTACCACTGAGCTATCCGAGCCGTGACTAACCTCCTGTAGGACTGAGATGTGATCACAATTGATTGATCACTGGGTGGTGATCAATGTCATGCTTGTCTAGTCCTTAGATAGTCTTCATTTAGTAGAGTTATTACGCCTAACAAACAGCGCAACAATTTTTATGGTTACATGGAAACTCCGGACAATGTGGTGGACCGGGAAGACCAGTCAAATAGCAACGGAAATGAGGAGATACAAATTGGCAGTACTGTAAATTTCTTATCTAATGTGTTTTTTTTTTGTTTACAAAAGGTTCAGTAATAGTGCTGGGTCAACAAGAAAGAAGTACTCATTATCATCATCATTACCACCGCAAATTGATGATATTTACAGTAATGGTATTAATGGTAATGTTCATAATCTGTTTAAGCATGAAACAATACAGAAATCAACATGTCCTAATATTTCAATGTTCACAAGTCATCATAATTCAATCACATTACCTTGGAAACCCACATCTACATATCCTTCTGGAGCATATTATCTTAATACAGAAAAAATACAACCACTACAATATAGTATGATTAAAAAATATTTTAATCCTAATTCTAACTTTAAAAATAGTTCAAAATTTAATAAAATTGAGAATAATGAACCGCTAAATCAGAAACTACATTTGAACAACTCAAAATTGAATGGATCAAATAAACAACTGGATCATGAAATCCACATGATCAATTTTTCAGATGTATGTTTTTTTTCTAGTTATTTATTTATTTTAACACATAGATATTGGTACAAGTAGGCACCAAATAGATATGCACCACAATTCGCCATTCGATTTGTGTGGCGGCTCGGATATTGCTCGGGTGCCCAAACAGAAGCAGGTGATTTTATTAGGAGGCCACACCTGGAGCCTTCGACCTACAGGTCTGATCCACAAAGCAGTGGAGTAACGTCAGCAGATGCAGTCTCATGGTAGTCAGTGACCAACGATTAGTTCATACACCGTTTGTTCATTCAGGATACTGGAGTCCATGTGCACGGTTGGTTTGGAATCAGGATTTTCCAACTCCCCTAAGTAAATCCTCCATGTTCATCAGGCCGTTCGAAGCTACGGACATTCTCTTTTCGTCCTCTCAATATCTTAAACAACACCCTCATTGGGAGAAATCAGTGAGTAGGACTTCCCTGGCAGAGGCTGTATACGCGTGGCCATGCGAGAGCATTTGGAGAGGGGTAGCTGACTCTCCCCACTTTGAGCCGTACCAGGGCATTTGGAGGCTTGATATTGATTTCACTCTTTTTCGTAGTTATCGACTAGAAAATTGCAAATCGAATTATTTTTAGGTCTAGTCAAAACTATTTAATCCTAAGCTATTTAATTCGATAACAGATATCCCTCCTTTAATTTAAAGATACACTTTGCCGATGAGCACTAAATGTATGAAACCACTGTCATGTAAAGTTTATTGTCAATTGGTTCAACATATCTGAGATCTAAACAAAATCCACTACAACTATGTAGTGTTGTTTACTCCGCATTACCTTAGTGAATATTCAGAAATTGGGTATCGCAGTGTCTGATATCCGCTAATCAAATTGTCAATCTTAACGGTGAAAAAAGTTTGGACTCAAAACTTTGTATCCCAACAGCGAGAAACATGTAACGCTTGTATGATTTTGATATGATGGAGACTAATTGTAGCATAGGATTAGGGTTTCAAGGGTGTATTTTTGTCTGAGCTGGGTAATTTAGTCGTGATGTATTTTGCAGTCTTTCTTGACGACATTATCAGCGAAAAATTCAATAAGAAGCGGATTATTAGAACATCTTCACAACCGACTAACTACTTGATCTATTGTCCTAGAATTGGGTTGATTGTTGTTCTTAGATCTGTAGTGGTTGTTCGTATATGTGCTTTGATTTATTTCACCACAGACCTACACACATCTATGGACAACAACTAACCGAATTCTAGGTCAACAGAAAAAGTAGTTAGTCGTTTGTGGAGAAGTTCTAATAACTCACTTCTTATAAATTTTTTGCTGATGATTCTTTCAAGAAAGATCATGAAAGCCACCATGACTAAATGCTCCAGCTCAGTGAATAAAACCATATTTAAAATCTTGTATCTGCATTTCATTCCCATCGATGCACATTAAAATACCACATATTTACTCTCAGTTAAACTGTAAATTACAATAAACTTTTGACCCCTATCAATTCAGCTACATCATATTCAAAACAAAGCGGTTATCTCAAGTACTTTCGTAAAGTATGATGACACGTCAACTGTATCACATTTTTATACCGTATGTTTGAGTAGTCTGAATGGAATCCTATGTCGTCGGACATATGATTGGTTATATTCCTTAGCAGAAGGATGGTGGCTAGCAGTTTAATCTAGGAGACGTTTCAACCTATTTGAGACTTGTTAGCTGGATGTACCTGCATCATAGAGTTGATGTTCATTCCGGGACTCAAACCCTGTACTATTCTCCATCGGTTCGTTCACTTAGCTACCGAGTCCAGATAGTCACTGTTTTGTGCAAATAGAGTGAATTTTAATTCATATACACTGATTGCTCGGTTCTTTTTATTGAATAAAATGCTTGTGAGTTAGTAGCAATATCGAGGCAATCGGCATAGGATACACATATGCAAAAAGAAACAGTTCAGTTGCAGTACTAAATATATATGGGAAGATTCGAACAATCAATATATAAAAATTGGTTGTACTCTTTATTCTATACTTATTCATCTTCTTCTACTGATCTATCCTAGAGCCTATCCGGTCTTATTACATTTCCGAATTGGTTTGTGTGGGTATATAATTCTTTTTCGAAATATTGAAGCCTAAGGTAATTTCATGTAGTCCTTAATTTAAGTTTTCCAGAGATAAGATGCATATATCTACATCCTTCACTAATTACAAGTGAATCCTATTGTAGGTTGTTTAAGTGTCTTCAAGAAGGCCGTTCCAGAGCAACCCATTTAACCAAATAGCATCTTGGCACTATAGCTGATGACAGTTCGTGATGAAAACTCTGAATCTAATTTCTAACCCTAACCATCAACTGTAAATTATAATCCTTATTCTCTAAACTGCTTTATAACCTTAATTTAGCCCTAGTTAGTAGGTAGACACTCTCAAGGTCAGTTTCGTGTCGTTCAAATGTCGACCATAAATTATAGTCTCAACAGTCATATTTTAATTAAAGTTAATTCAGCTCTAGCAATGTTAGTTGTTATCGTAATATTAGACATACGATTATTGTTGATTATTGAGCCATAATTTTCTGGTAAGATCTTTCATCGCCAACCTATGATTACTTAATCAATACTAATATATTTGAAGCAAAGATAGATAGTGGCTAGCAGTTGAATCTAAGACACGCGTTTCGTCCTATTTGGAACTCATCAGGTGGATATACCTGCATCTCGGAGTTGATGTTCATCCTGTCACTCAAACTCAGTACCGTTCGCTTCAAACGCCATCACATTATCCACTTAGCTACTGAGGCTTGATAGCCACATGTTTGTGCAGCGGGGTGAAATTTAAATTCACTTAAATCTCACTGTCTATCTTTGCATATAATTCTTGTGAATGAAGATTGTATCAAGGCAATACGCACAGTATGCACATATACCGATAAGAGACTGATCAAGAACCGACTGATGTTAGACCACCTTTGGAAACCAGGAAGCACTGGACAGCCGTTTCGCCCTATTGTGGGACTCCTCGGCAGTGCGCATCCACGATCCCGCTCGCGATATTCGAACCCAGGGCCTTCGGTCTCACGCGCAAACGCTTAACCTACTTGACCACTGAGCCGGCATCCAGTAGTGATAGTATCTAACATCAACCCATCCACGAAATTGCGCACTGTTGAGGAGTCCCACAATAGAACGAAACGGTCGTCCAGTGCTTCCAGGTTTCCAAAGGTGGTCTGGCATCAAACGGTTCATGATCTCAATCAAAAACTTAATAATCTCCACAACCCCTATACTAAGAGACTGATCAACTGCAGTCCTAAACATCAATGGGAAGATGCAAGTAAAACAATATTACTAAATGAAGCTGATACATTGATTTCAAATTTTCCACATTCATATAAATGAAATCTCATATCATTTCGTATACTCATTTATGTTTAATAATAAATCCTTTTTCTATAATTTTGTTTAAATTAAAACAGAATAAACAAACCTATGGAAAATCGACGGTTTTGGAAGAATTGAATTCTCAATAGTAAACATAGTAATAATAATAATTCTTCACACATGAAAATATACTACTACACTACAATAATGAGTAGTTTTAATTAATTTGTAAACTGTAAAATCAATCATGTTTACTTTTCCATACTGAATGAAAAATACATTTCCTTTTTTGTTTTTTAAAAAAGTTTGTTTCTTCATCTGGGAATGTGATTGATGATTAAGATTGTGATGATATAATCTTTTTTTTTGAAAACCATTTACATTGAGTTAATTTAGAGAATATCATAGTCGTTCGTGTTATATTTCTTTGTTAGATATTAACATCGTTAGATGCCGACTCAGTGGTCTAGAGGTTAAACGTTCACGCAAGAGACTGGAAGTCCTGGGTTCGAGTCTCGAGAGCTAGATCGTGGATGCGCACTGTTGACGAGTATGATACTAGTAAGAAATGACCGTCTAGTGGTCTGAGGTTTTCCATGGTAGTCCAGCTTCAACTGACTCATGAATTTAACCACTAAATTCCTTTCGATTAATAAATTTAATTCTGAACATGGTAAAGAAGAATTACAAAACAACGTAAATATACACAAAATATATTGATAATTATGCTAAAAATAATACATTTCTGGATTATGGAAATTAGACGACATGAAACAATGCCCGTAGTGATTATTACTATTCACTCATTTATCAGATATAGATACATATGCTTCTCCTTCAGGTTAGTGATAAAAACTGGTTCATCCAACTATAGTAGGTGACACTTGAATATGCTACTTAGTGACTGAATATCGAACGCTTTTACAATTGACTCACCTCTTCATAAAAAATATTAAAAAGACGAAATACAAAGATATTAATTTGAACCACAGTTAAAGGTGATTTGTAAGTAACACCTTTTTCCATGAAGTTATAACTGGCCTACTTTACGGAATAGAAGGTATTAACAAACTTTATAAATTATATTGCAAACCGACGTTAATTAGACACATGCTAAAAATCAGGATGCACTGGACAGCTGTTTCATCCTAGTTAGGGACTCGTGGGCAGTGTGCACATCAACATGCCTACCACAGGGTGTAGAGTTGAGGACCTTCACCAGGTTTTGAAGCAAGTGCTTCACATTTGGATCACAGAGCTGTAAAATTTCAATCAATTTGCTACATCGAGCAAATATCTTACAATATCACTAGTGAGTAATTACCCCGTGTTTGAACTTCGTGATGTAAAATATAAATTTCAATAAGCTCCACAGATCTCGCTAAGGTACTAATAGCTTGTGATGCAATCGTCGGCACAAACATGTGGTCGTTTTCACGACTAAAGTTTATTTCAAGCTAAAGTTTTTTTCAGTCTGGAGGTTTGTGTTATTTTCATTGTCGAATTCACGATTCGATCTAAGCTAGAGCACTATTGAAAACCTGAAAGTACTGAATAGCCATCCCGTTCTAGCATGGGACTTCTCAGTAGTGGGGACCCACATCTTCGCACGCGGGAATCAGACTCAGGACCTTCGGTCTCGCGCACGAACGCTTAACCTTTAAACTACTGAGCCAGTATCCAACGGTGTTAATGCATAACTTCAGTCGATCCATCATGTTGAACAACCCTTCATCCATTTTCTAAGATGGATAACTGTTTCACACCCGACAAATATCAAGTGAATTATCCTGATAATTTTTTCATATTTAATCATGATGAAATGAAGCTAGATGATCAAATACAATAAAATAATCCATTGAAAAGTGAAGAACTTTTTTCTTCATTCTTTGTAAAGAATTTCAGTATAATTACCAAGTTTGTTCATCAGTGTTGAAAAAATACCCAGTTATTGTATAGGTTTTACAATATCAAGGTTAGTGTTATATCTTCAAAAGTTGATTTTTCTTGATACTACTGCGTATAACAAAGAACTAGAACACCAAACCCTTCCAAGTCGCAGTAAGAAGACAGAAGACTAACGAAAGGAATATTATTCCAAACAGTGTCAATCATAGTACAAAACTGCCAGGTATTTATAGCTTTTAGTGAGAACGAAATCATCATTACAGTCTTCCAATCCGCATACAGGGGGTTATCAGCATTATCCAATCGGGAAGCTACACGTTGGAATTCTAGAATATTCTTCCGAGAGGTGATTGGATAAAACGTCTTCGGCTCCTTCTGAGCCTCTCACAGCTTCCTCGAGTTCACCGGTGGTACGTCACCACAGTTAGACTGCATTATTCGAAGGTTATTCTTCCATTTGCGTTATAACTAATTGGCATCAGCAGATATACTTACTGAGTTTCAGTGATAACTGAATTGATAAAATAAGACAAGATCATATCGTTTATATGTAAATAATTCCAGTGTTTGTAAGTCTTACGTTAAATGCTAAGAATATGTGAAATCATGAGGCTTGTTCGTATGAAATCGCATGGAATTCAGACCAACTCATCTAACCGTTAACAAGCAAATCAGTCTTCTACTCTGAAATCCCTTTGATACTGTGTCAGATCATAATTCGTTCCTTAGTCAGAGTAAGCCTCATTAATTGCTTCTATCTTTTGTTCCTCGTCACTACATACCTGATTAAACTAATTATTGGTGTTGAAGTTGGGCAATAATTCAGGGATGATTGGCATATGCATTATGAAATTAAGAGCTATATTTGGCCTGATACAAGACTTTTGTCCGTTAGAAGAATTACTTTGTTGGTTGACAAATTAAATCTTGATGGAACTTGAGCTTCTGAATTTAATGGAGACCATTTAAATTTGATGGGACGTTTACATCGGTTCTTCAATCTAAGTGGAAGTGTCAGTATTGGGAGATTTTCTATAGTTTAGAGAAAATGAGAACTCATTGGTATGAGCCTGAAATTAATAGTTTGATTACTCGACACAGTATCGGGATTACTCTAATTTTCTTGCACACTTTTAGCATAAAATTCATTAAAAATGGTTGATTTAGGCAGTTTGTTTACGGATAACATAGAACATCAGCTTACTTCCTAGAACGAAGGTTCGTAATGTCACCAGGTTTTATACAGTGTTTAGTTAGGGGACATTTTAATGAATCTTGATAGATAACTATATCTGTGACTTGGGAAGAAAAAAACAGGAAACATCAGATTCTCGAAGCATACAAGACTATTTTAAGACACAGGCTTCCAGGTACGTACCATCCTAGTAGGTTTCGTAGATGTAAGCTCTTTAATTAGTTTCAAACTACTATAATTTCTACAAGAGATTTTTAAAGAAAATTGAATATACCAAGGTGAGTCTGAATACCAGTTTAAGTTGATTTTAGTCGTATTTCAATACCTTAGCAACATGTTGGATATTCAGAAACAGTCTTTTTTTATACTTAAAAGATAGAAAATTAATGAACAATTCAAACGACAGCTTACAATGAACACACATTATAATTGCTAAACGGAAACAAGATCTGAAATAAATCTGAGTTTAACTCTAGAAACAGGTTAGACTATCGTTCAACAGAAATTTAGTCTTTACTAGATTCTTAGTATGAGGTCGTGGAGATTGTCGAATTTTCATGAAACTAAGTTAGACAACCACTAAATAATCTGGAAACACTAGACGAGCATTTCGTCATAGTACTAGATTTATCACAGATAGTACTCTGTTTTGTAAATTTTCAGTAAACAACAAAATTATGTGAATCATTGATAGGCTAGTTGAATTTATTACATATATCATGTACTTATGACCAAATACCATCTCAATGCATTTTATTAGGTAAAAACAAGGCACACAATGATATGAAACCGATTATTCCACAATGCATCTAATCAACATCTCACTCCACATATCTTCCGATCTCAGTCAGTCAGCAACAACGTAGAACTTCGTACGTTGTTGGGGACGGTATATCCCCTAAATTCATATTTGTAATTTTATCATATCGATTAAATAGCAGTCAATTGACGAACTGATCGATTAAATGCCTGTCGAGTGATAAACTTAATGAGTAAAGTTTAAACACATTTCACTATGACAATATTGATTAAAATATATTTGTATAAATACGTTTTAAATTGTGTTTGTGGGCTCGTTTCTGGCTGTTTACAGAATATATTTTCCATACCAAACTTGGACTTCTCCTTCTAGATAGCGAGGCTGGAACGCATCAATAGTTAGATTACTGGTCTTTGGTCACTTGTTCTTGTTCGTAGATTTAAGTGAACTTGTAAAGCTTTCAAACCTAACATACATACGTACATCAGTTCGAGTTGCCACACCACATTAGAACAGAGATGCAGTTGTCGATTCAAATCCCATGGTGGTTAGAGGTAGTAAGAGTATAAGCAGTAATCGGAAACATTAGGGTTTGAAGATGTTATTCAAGGAGTATAATCCAGTGAAATAAATTTGGGAAGAGAGAAAAAAAGAAGACTAGGAGGAATCAGGAGATTAGAACTTGGGAGAACACAAAGAGTGTATGCACCTGCGCCATTGCAAACGATTTTGAGCCATGTCATTCAAGGTCTCTAACCATCGGTTGCTATCATCATCATCATCATCATCATCATCCGATCTAGGTTAGAAATATCTTCTATATGTACTTATCTAATTCAAAATTGATCGTTTACACCTTCCTACTAATATTCATCTACCCATTTTATATAATCAATTTAGATTATTATAAACAATGAAACAAAGAAAAGATAAAATCACATCATCAACTAAAACAATAACAATGAGAGAAAGTCAAAAAGAAGCTATTGTAGTTATAAAAAGTTTTATTCTTTCTTTTTTTTTTATAATGAAATCAACACAACTTGATAAATGCCTGTAGTAATAAATTAATCTTTCTCAATAAAAAAAAACAACAACAACAAACAAGAAACGTTCTTATTGAAAGATGCGATAAAACAGCATAATATATATATGAATATACTAGGGGGAATAGCATGACGATACGTTAGTAGGTTACTACTACTACTACTTAAAACGAATGAGTAATACATGAATAGAAATATAAAGATAACTGAAACTTGAAAGTGTTATACACAAAGAATATCGAATGGAATGTTGTTCCATTGAGAAAGAGGAAAAGAAAAGTGAAAATTCGTAAAAGAAAAAAGGATTAAACAACAAGAAAAATTGTGTGTATACATTCATAATTATGTAAGAGTAAGTGAGCACAAGAGAATTGTAAACAAACAAACAAATAGATATTTGAAAGTCAACAATGAATGATGACATAATTTTATGCATTTGTATTTAACTCTCAATACTTTCGATATTTCTATTCGATCATACATTCGAAATTGTATAAGAATAGTTATGATACATTAAACAAGAGTGACAAGAGAGGGGGGGGTCAGAGGTGACGACGACGACGGGCAGATTATTATTATCCCCAGTTAGTTATATAGGCAATGAAGTAACTATTAATAATATGTATAATGGTATAAATCTACCAATACAGCGTATATATATATTCTCTATCTAGACGTTGTATTGAATAGTACTATACGAATTAGATAGATATATGAACGTAATTATAATTAGTAATGATAATGACAGTAGTGAATGAATAAGACAACTGAATGAATAATGACAATGAATAGAGAGAAAGGATTAAGAAATTTGTTTACAAAGTATCATAATGATCATCATTGCACAATAAGCTAGTTTTAGCTAAGTGGTCAATTATAATAATAATAATAATAATGAACAATGTTCATTTGTAATACAAGTAATATTTAACAGGAATAGTGATGATATATAACCACAAAATAAGTTCTCATCTTAGCAACAAAACTAAGAATGAGTTGCACAAAAATAAGAAAGAAAAAAAAGAACCAACAAGTAAGAATAATGAAATTAGATGAATGTAAATCAATTTAGTAACATGATTATATTTCCTTTTCACAGCCAATAACTGAGGTGTACGTACACACGTTCATCATCCATCTATTCATTCATCCGCACACACACACACATCGACAATACATGATTGACAAATGAACAAAATACATATATAAATATGACAATGTAAGTAAAAAACATATGAATAATTCACTGATTGACTGATGCATAATGAGATAGAATGGTTCATCATATCATGGAGTCTTCCAGTCATTCATATTGATCATGTGGACAAAGAGAAGGAAGAGAAACGAAAAATAAACAAACTGGAAAGGTTTCAATATAGTAATTTTGGCCTAAAACGATACACAGCTGATTAATGATAGTTTATGGTCTCAATGTTAACGGGCGTAGCATTTGACGACAAATTGAAGCTATCAAGGTTGGTGATTGGTCAAAATCAGTTAGAAATGTACAACCAGAGTTTCTGAATGATCGATAAACTATATCATATTTTTCGTCGAATGACACTAGATTAAAAGAGATTAGAGGGTGACACAAAAGTGTAATTAGGAAAATATTTAAATAAATACACAGTGTAAATAATAATGTAATGAAGCAAAGAGAACTACACATTGTAAACTAATATAATAAGTATCTCAAACAGTCCGATCACAGCTGCTATCTTGATTCGGCGGTCGGGTTCGCATATCATGATGATCTTGTCAAGTTAGACTGACTGGGATACCTGTTGTTTTTTGTGCGAAGACGTCATAAAGTGCGGTTGAAGAACCGTATGACTAAAAGCAGAGACTAGAAGTTCGAGGGCGAAGTCACTGCTCACTGTACATATGTATGACGGCGATAAAATATTCCCCTCAGCCAACCGGAGTTTCCGGTGATGCTACCTCACCGAAAGGGAAGGAGCTAGAAAAGGACGATCCAAGCCTTCCTCATGGATTTCCATTGACAGTGACAGGGCCTCAAAAGTATGAAGTTAACTAATATACAACCACTTACAAAAAGATTGGGTTCGACCGACCAATGATATGAGATCAATTTCAAGCAATGAAGAAATACTATAGTAAACGAGAACTTCATGCGAAAAACCAATTTATTGTTGGGTACACAGTTGCATAGCAAAATATGAAAATCATACATTAAATACATTACTTGCACATATTCCATCAGCTGTCCTTTACCTACTACATTATTTCTCTAATTCTGTTGTTATACTGATTGCTCTCCAATAACCTTTATGCTTTTTAATATTCAATCTTCTGTTGCCTGACATTCCACTTCCGATTGCGGCTATATACTAATTATATCTGCAAGCATAAGCAGCAGTACAACCTCTGTCTAGTGACTGAATTGTAGTGGATAACAATTATGATGCAATGGAACTTATAGAAATAGTATTTAAAAAAAACACACACACACAGAGAGAGTTGTATAAAAGGTCATTGGTAAGCGCTATAACGGAAACCAAAGGATTTTGTGCATTCCATATCACATCACTTGATACTAGGTTGAGGAAACTAGACCAATAGATTCAATAAATCAAAATACTTGACCTCACTAGACTTAACAGATAAGATCATCATACGGATCAAAATAGTCAACCACGGATGTGAGAAAATTGAGATTAACTTTACATATAGAAGAGTCTCTAATTAGCCAATCACAGTTTATTTGCATCCGACACAACAGTTGGGTATGTGATTTTCATTTCTGTTCTTCATTAATTATTTCTTATTTGATTTCAAATATTCTCTGTAGAAACAACAATTTGAATTCGATATCGACATATTTATTCAGTTGAAGGTGAGGCTTAGTGAATAGTCTAATTAATTAACAAGTGATAGAATAAATAAGGTGAATAAAAGTAAACAAACATACACCATGCGTCATTCATGAACAAGAAACTGTGGAACATTACTGTAATAACAAAACTTATTCAGAGCAATACAACTCATCAAGTAGAGATTCGTGTACTTAGCTTTGAACCACACTCAAAATGTAAGGACTAATGATATTATCTGATTGCTCGAATTAAATTAGGGAGAGTAGGACGCGAACCTGTAACCTAGTGGTTAAAAGCTGAATACATTTACAGCTTAGTTAGAGCTCCACTATTTCAGATTGGAATGACAACAGAATGGTCAAATGTATAACGTCAATTAGTTATCAACTGAAAAAACGATACAAAAAAGTACAATTATTTATAAACAATTGTCTACATAAGATACTCAATGTCTGTTGACTGAATATCATCAGCAACAGCCTACTATGGGAGAGAACAAACCAGATTTCAGATGAAGAGGGAATTAAGGTGCTGGAAGTAGATAAGGCATACATTATGGAAATCATCAAACTGCATCACGAGCCGAACGTATACGAAAAAGAGAAAGGTCAAATAACATACTACAACGAGAATTTGAAGCAGACATGAAAAGGATCAATAGCGACTGGAAACAACCGGAAATTATTTTCCCGGATAGAGATGGATGGAGAATGCTGGTGGGCGGCCTATGTTCATCTACGAGTGGTAACATGTATAAGCAAGTGAGAGAACGATACGTACATACAATGCTTTATAAAATGACAAGTAATAATAGAGAAGCAAGACACTTACACATATATATAAATAAACACAACTAATAAACATCTGAAGAGGGTGACAAAAAAACCTACTTAGATCCAACGATGTTCGTGACAATGCTTGTACAATTAGAAATAATAATTCACGATAAAGTGAATTTTCCAAACATGCTGCATAACATTCAATATTACCACATCGATTTTGCTGATTTAATTTATTTCGTCTCATTTTAAAATCTCCTATCTCTACTGTAGATTGTAATTGAACATGATTTGTATTGTTTGAATTCAATTGGTTTTTATTTATTTCAGATGATAATTCTGATGTTTGTGTTTGTATTGATGATGGTGAAGTTGTTGCTCCGATTGTTGTTAATGGTGATGATGATGGTGGTGGCGGTGAAAATGTTGTACGTGATTGTGTAATAGTTAATGGTAATGAAGAATTAAATTGTAGATGTGCACGTATTTGTATGAGATATTCTACAGCAAATCGCATATTATCATTTTTAATAGCATTAATCAACTGATCAATAGTTGCATGAATTGAACAACAACTATTCCCATTACTATTTATAGTTTGTTGATTCAAAGTATCTTGTGAACTAGTCACTCTAACCAAAGACCAAGGTGAATTTTGATCTATAATATACATATATATGTATGCAGGAGATGAAATGATAAATAAAATATTGAATATAACTTTCAGAGATACAATCAAATCAATGCTATACATCGGAACAAAGAATAATAATAATATTTTTGTTATATCCCAATGAGTAAACAAATTGTATTTCTGATGTTTCGTAATTTAATGTAAGCTACTTCTTCAGAGCAAATAAATAACTGACATTATATTGATACAAGTTTAAATAGTCTACTTCTATCCGACACATCTCAGATGAACACTCAATGGCTTTATAAACTCATGTTTCATCCTAGTTTGACTACCCTTTCTCCTCCCCTACAAGGTTATGTTGAGTTGAATTCCATTTTATTTCAAATAGAGAATGAAAACGTTTAAAGGTAATCAATTTTAGTAACAAAAACATACTGATACTAAATTAATCTGGTAACAAGTAGTCAGTTCAAATGTTAACTAGAACTTTCAACAGACATTAATTAGTGAATATTACTACTATAAAACAAAACTTGAATAATATGAAATATCTATGAGGCACTTAATCCTTAATGATTACATGGTGATTTTCATTTGTGTTCTGGTAAATACGTATCATTCAAGTGAATTCTCAAACTTGTTTATGTCTTTAACAGATATTTATGTACCTTCATACTCAGGCATTTGACATTAAATATTCTAATTACCTTCGGTCAGATCCCACTATATAAACTAGAATGCCTGAAGACTTTTTTGTTAATAAAAACTATAGTTGATTGTCAAACTTATTGATTCTACTAACATACATGGTCTACCTATGCAAATGAATCTATTGACTATTCTTACATTGACCTAAAACTAATAAGGCTAGAAAATCAATGAAAGAAGTTCACTATATTTGTAGACAAGACTACGAGGAGGAGGGGTACATTTTAGAGCCCGCCCTATGAGAGATCCGGAAACAAAAATGGACTAGTAGTGTAGTGCGTGCTACTTATATTGATATAAGTAGTATATTATGCGAGTCAGGAATGTAATGTCTGGCAGCAGATGAAGGAAGATCAAGAAAGCAAGAGTGAGAATAGGATTCAGTTTGTATGAAAATGCAAGGACAATGAAGTCTGAGACATTTTGAGACAATTGGTGGACATTTTGCAAATTAGCGATTTGATATATGGTTCTCAGATTTTATTGAGATGCTCTGTAATTTTGTGTTAAAAACATTCGATTGTCCCCACCCGTGTTCTGTTCACTACGGTAGTGACAACTGTACTCATTTCAACAACTGAATCATGAGTTAGTCTAGGCTAGACCACTACTTAAAACCTGAAGGCACTGCACGGCCGTTTGTCTTAGTATGGGACTCCTCAGTAGTATGCGCCCACGATCCCTCACGTGGGATTCGAAACCAGGACCTTCGGTCTACACATGCAAACTCTTAAACTCTAGACCACTGATCCAGCATCTAACGGTGTTGATATCTAACTTCAATCGACCCCTGATCTTGGGCAACCCTTCATCAATTGTCTGAGGTGGATAACTGTCAACTGTGTCAACCAAATAACGTGACTGCAAAGTCCAAGAACCGAGTTCAATTATACCTATCCGAGAATGGTTTTTAGTGGACTGCCTACTTTTTAAACCTTTCAGTTGGCACCACGAGTCCATGGGGACTTTGCAGGCTGACATTTTAAGATCGACCTCCTGTCGGTGGAAGGAAATTATCTTTAAAAATGTGGGTTAACCAACTGTTAAAAGTCTGTTTCTTCTTACGGTTAATGACCCAGCTATTCCTATTGCTTAGTATTCTCGGACACCGATTCACTCGACAAGTCCCCAAATCGGAACACGGTTGAACAGGAAAGAGATTATATTCCAAATAGCAAGTCAGAAGCCAGTAGGAAGCACAATAGGGGAAAACGTCGGTATATTTATAGTTTTTACATAAGAAGATTCCAGAATATTCTCCGACTATCGACTAGTGCCGATTGGATAAGAATCAGCCAATCAGCGTGCACCAAAGCAATCATGCATCGAGCATGCTTTAATCCAGTCTATGTCCCGCTAACACCAACACAAACATCAAAATAATGAGACACTGTAAGAAAGTTCGCAATATGAATTCCCCTTCGGACCAAGCCATATTATTTGCTTGTGACGGTGGAACATTAATGAAGCGTTTAAGGCGAAATAAGTCAAATTCTATCATAATGACAGGCATGAACAATAATCACCAAATTAAGGTTGGGGGCACAGTTGGGAAAATGTATAACAGATCCAAGTTTAATATGCTGTCTTGTCATATTTCTTTTAATTCTATATCATGAATTGTAGTTAACTATCTGTTTCAAGCCATAAAGGTGCTTATATTACCAATAGTTTTGTAGAGATGGTCAAATTTTTACACTTTACATCAAGGACTGATTTTAGTTAGGGAACCATTGAAAATGAGGATGTACTAGACAGCGGTTTCGACCCGGCATTAGATACCTCAAGAGTGCAACATTGCTCACTATACCACCGAGGAAAGAATCCAGAACCTCTAGGTTTTATTAAGAGCGCTCAACCTTCACACTGCTGAGTCAGAATGAGATAGTCTTCATGTCTAACATTAATCTCCCCCAAATGCCCTGGTACGGCTCAAAGTGGGGAGAGTCAACTACCCCTCTCCAAATGCTCTCACATGGCCACGCGTATACAGCCTCTACAAGGGAAGTCCTACTCACTGATTTCTCTCAATGAGGGTGTTGTTTAAGATATTGAGAGGACGGAAAGAGAATGTTCGTAGCTTCGAACGGCCTGGTGGACATGGAGGATTTACTTAGGGGAGTTGGAAAATCCTGATTCCAAACCAACCGTTTACATGGACTCCAGTATCCTGAAGGAACAAACGGTGTATGAACCAACCGTTGGTCACTGACTACCATGAGACTGCATCTCCTTACGATGCTCCACTACCTTGTGGATCAGACCCGTAGGTCGAAGGTTCCGGGTGTGGCCTCCTAATAAAATCACCTGCTTCGGTTTGGGGACCAGGGCAATATCCGAGCCGCCACACAAATCGAATGGCGAATTGTGGCGCATATCTATTTGGTGCCTACTTGTGCCAATATCTATGTGTTAAAATAAATAAATAACAAATTCATCAATCACTTAAACATATAGAACGATAAATAATTGTCTCGCAAGGAGCATGACTGAACTGCACTAGTTACGGCTTACAATAAGAGATTCTGGAATTACCCATCAAAGTTAATCACTAGTGAACGCATGACTACTATTACTAGAAGAGATTTGTGAAGATTGTCAAGTTTTTATAGTTATTACATCAGAGACTTACCTTAATTACACAACCAATGCAAATCAAGAAGCACTGTATAAAAGACTAATGCTTACCTGAATTTCTAAAATTGGACCAATATTTATACAATGAATTTCTCATAACGCTTCGTACAGGATGTGTTGCATTCCAACGTAATGATATATATACAGGTAAATTGGGGGATAAATGAACTTGCTATTATTTTTAAAACAATGAAAGATAGAAAAAACAAATAATTATACTTTCAATGTCATTTATGGAAACTGACAATTTAAGAACATGACAAGTACAATACATTATCCGGCTTTCCTAAAAAAAGAAGTCCAATAATCGAACACCTTGTAAACGAAGGTTACTTAATCAAAGAGAATTCTGGGTTTAAAGTCATCTACAAGTTAAGTAAAAAGCTTCCAAAGGAAATTAAATTTTACATCTACTTAGCATTGCCGAATCACTAGCTATACATCTGGAAAAACCGGAATGTGTCCAGAAGAAAGTGGCACAACCTCTTCTTCTACCATGGTCTTAATCTCGCAATTTTTCTTTCTTCCTCATACTTTTTTTTCTTTCACAGATATTTACTTCCTTCTTATCTTGTTTATAGACCTTTTACCACTAACTGATTTGTTTCTATTGCTAGGATCCTTCAGACTGCAGTTCATCTTGATTTCAAAATTTTATCTTATCACGCTGGGCCTTCGCTTCTCAATTATAATCTCCTAATCTATCTTCATGATGAATATTGAAGATTATTCTGTTTAACTAATCAGATATGATCATGTGTGAAAATAAACTTCTCTAATCCACAAAAAGTCAAACCACTTCTGTGAAGTTGAATTAATGAATATGTGTCTAGTTTAAACAAGGAAAACACATTGGTCAACCGACGTTTTGGAAATATTACATTCAGCGGATGTTAAGAAAAAGTGTAGTGAGTAAAAATTTAGTGATCGATATTATGACAAACGATTAGCCAACCCACGTCATATTTCTCTACCCAACTCACGTATACTCTTTTCAGCAATCGCTAGTATTCTAAGCTTCAACAGACGACGTTAACCTTGTAGTTGAGATCAAAAATAATCCTAGTCCCTATTGGTCAAGAATATATGCCTTTCTTCTGGTCCAATCTTCAATACGATAGTACAACATGGCAAACCATGGTATAATAGTACATACATCTCAAAGACTTTAAGTTTACATGAATTTGACCATCAGAATGTAACGAACTTCAAATAAGACATTATATTTCAAAACACAATCATACGATAAGTATCAGAGGACGGAACAAACGATACATTATTCATTAGCGATCATTATAAAGGTAATAACAACCGACGAGTCCAAAATAGGATAAAAAAACGCGTCCTGGATTTCACTGCTAGCCAACAAACATCTCTGCTTATAATGCTTGAAGGTTTAGGGCAATATCGAGGGGATCCGCATAGGATGCACATATGTCGATAAAAGATTTATCAAATACAGTCCTGAAAACATCAGTGGGGGGAGGATTCAAGCAACCAATACGAGAATAAAGTAGTTGATTGGTTTAAAGAAAGCTCACAATACTCGTCTCTTCCTCACGCCTTTTTAACAACAATTATTAAAAAAAACTTAAAAAATTTATTTCGAAAATAAACTGTTGTATCCCGACAAGGATAATGAATGGTAATTTTTGGGATCCATTTATGGACCAACATTATGAGTATATTTTTATCGTATAATTGTTATGTAACTAAACTGTTCGTATTCATATCCTTCTTATTATAAGTTTTGATTTGACCCATAGACTATTACTATACGATTTACCATTCATGAATTATTCCGTGTCTGTTAATCGCTACCTCCCTCATTCACAGCCACGTCTGGATAATTCCTGTACAAATGTTGTTTCATAATTTATGAGTACTTTGTGGTCGGTTCGTTTGGTAATATAAACTCAGTATGCTTGAAATATGATGATTCATATCTCAGAGGCTGAGACTTGCGTTCTGGACTCAACTAGCGGGGCTAGACAGGAAGCGAGACCAATCAGAACTCTAGGCTGTTCTTATGTGTTTTACGCGTCTGGTCCGATCGATAATACACTGTCGTCTAATCTGCAATCACAAGACATAACAAACAAAATTTATATAATAACAAAAGCATAACTTACATAAAGTGCATCAGTAAATATAATTGAATGGTTATTATGTATTTGCTTATTATTACAATTACACTGTTGTGAACAATGATGATGATGACGATGAGTATGTGATGGATTTGTTTTAAATTTAATACGTTGTTCAATTTGATAATTTATTATCCATAATGGTAATGAATCTAATAAATATGTTGGTAAACCTAAACGATACATTAACCATACTAAATTCCATGTTAATTGAGTATGACGATGTAATAAAGAATATTGAATTGATTGACAATGTAAACATTCATCACCTTCATTTTGAATAATAGTTTCTAAAGATTTTCTAATGACAAATGGACTGAAATAAGAAAACTGAGTAAAAGAAAAACAAACAGAAATATATGAGAATATACTAAATTGAAACTGTAATTTAACGATAAATACATACATTCAGTTAAGTGACTGTATTGACGACGGATAAAACACACGGATGGTGACGGCAATAGAAATCAACAGGGGCTATACAACAGTTTTTGTTTATATACTAAATGATAACCTATAAAAATGTCCTTAAACATCGTCGCTACCGGAAAAGAGTGGGATTAAAACCCAATGAGGAGAAAATCTATCAACAAGTGAGAATCAAATTCAATCTATGTAATAACTTCAATATGATCGCCAACTCAAAACAAACTCCCAAGTTTTGATATATAATTATCGGAATCACCAGCCAATAAAGAATTGTTACCAAGATGATGACTGGATCGAGGATGACACAATCGGCAATTACAGAATGATATGGGTTAACTTAATTATTAATTAGTGGACTTTAAAAAAAGGGGGTATCTTGGTATTCTCCCAAAAATATTGATCATTGTGACCTTTGCAACGATGCAATGTTGCACAATCCTCGTCTAATCTTACTGATTACCTTGTTTTGCAAAATACCAGACATACCGATGTTACTTATCATTTGATTGTTTTTTTCTAGAAAACAAAAGGTATCTTATAAAGTTTGAATTCGGGGATTAAGTTAAAGAGTTCAGGATTTACCATAAGGAAACATAACAGACAAACTACAAAATACGATTTCAATTGTACATGTAAAATTATAACGACAAATTCCAAGTCGTAATTCTAACTTTAATTCAAATCCTAAGGTTTACATCTTGACCCAAAATTCTAGCCTTAGCATAATTACTATTCTGTGATTGACTGAACAGGGTCTCGGTTTTGAAAATCTTATTCTTCTAAGTCGACGTGATAGTTAAATCATGGTAACTAGTTCACTGAAATTTGTAAGTTTTGTTTTGAAAAGTGTGTATTTGTCAATCAGACGTAAGTGGAATCTGGCATATCTGTATATAGGTTGAAGTTACTATACCCCATTAGCACAAAGAAATGAAATTGTCAAAATAAATCCCAGAGTAGTAAAGATAGTATTAGTATTAATGATAATGGAAAAGGTCTGACAATTTAAAAACTTGTGATCTGAGTGAGGACATAGAATGAATACATCAGCGTTACGCATAACAATTTGCAGTCATACCAACACACATAATCTCTAATCATTGTTTATAACAATTAGATGAACCCTAATCTTATAATCTGCATCTGCCTATATCATCCCATCCAATAATCAATATCTTTATGGAGACAAAGGTCATGTTTTGATTTGATCACCTTTAACTTTCTTCAAAAAGGTATTGTATTTTATAACAATCATTATTTAGGAGATAGTTACAAGAATAAAATCAATCACAACTATACATAATACAAATAATAACAATAGTAATGATTAAAATAATTAATGTTACAATTAAAACTTACGGTCATTTCCATTAGACCCATACTGAATGGTAGTGAACAGTGTGTATATGTTGATAGAACCATGTTTAAGTTGTATAGAAACATGGAATAAATGAATTTATCCAATTTGTTTTAGGGATTAAAAAACAAACAAACAAACAATCAAACAGAAATAAGACAAAGAGAAAAATTTAAACAGAAGAAGAAAAGTTTAAACTAATGAATACTTTCATAATTCACAGTGAATTCCCTTACAGAAAATGAACTTCATTTCAACTTAGTACATACATTCAATGTATTCAATCAGCTACAACGTAGGACCAGGCATATATATATATATACCGGTCCAAGATACCATATACCTCATCAGTACAACAAGATGGTCACCAAATTCATAGAAGCAGTTACTTCAATGTTAACACTCAATGCAGATATTTCTTTGTCTGTTATTGAATAATAATGAAAATTGGAGGTAACAAAAAAGAGTAGCTATCGATTTTTAATAGTGTTAAAGATCATTTTGTTGAATTACAGCTAGAAGAGAAACACTTTCACGAGCTTGGCTTTCCTCTAAAAATTAAATATAAAGGCTGGTGATATTATCCAGTAAACCAAACTGGAGTGGTACGAGGTTCGAGACTACAACTTAGTGGTTGAAAGTCGAGTGTTTTGACCAATGAGCTGCCTATTTATCTACCATAAAAACACATTCAAGTAGCTATATACATAAGAAAACGCATTAACAGATCTAGTTTAATTATCAATATTGATTAGTAAGTACTTTGATTGACGTTTATGAATTATTGTATTTCAACGAATGTTAGATAGGTGATACAAAAGTTGGCTCATATGATTCAAAGAAACTGAACAAAATCATTCAACGTCTAACCATTCATAGCGCCTACCTCAATGATGTAGTCTCCATCTAATAATATAGCATAGACCAACAATTATTGATTTCATATATATATATATAAACAACTTACGAAGTACTTTGCATTGGTGCTGAGGTGCATGATTTAAATTGAATTGATTCAGTTGAATCATTTCTATCACACTGAAGATTGGACGGATTATTCGACGACTGAGAAAAAGTTGTACGTAAGTGTTGTTCTCTTGACTGTTGACGTTGTTGTAATTTTGCTGACTGATTATAAACACCACCTCCACACCCCACATGTATCACCAAATATACGTATTGACAATTGTGGTATAAAGTAAGTTTTACAAAATGGACAAAATGTTCTATAATCATTTTCATCTGTAGACCAACCAGCCATTATCTCTTCATCATAAACATAATGTTTACACTTTGGACATGTGGAACAAGTTGTGATGAATACATTCAAATGAGTAATAATATTATTATTATTGTTTCCATTAACGTTAGGAAGTTGGCTACCATCTGATATCGTTGTCGATGTGGAAGAAAAAGATGGTGATGATTCTTTATTACTATTGTTATCACTATAGTTAAGAAGCGGGGATTGTGATTGGACAGTTGGTGTAGTGATTTTTGAAAATAAACAAGAATCACTAACTACTGAAGTTGTTTGATGATCATCTGGATTCGAAGTAAGCTGTTGTGAAGCAATATTTGGAGTTGTTATTGTTGCTACTGTAACTGGTATTGAAGTGGTTGAATTATCTGAAAAAAGGTAAATAGTGTCATTTTGACTGAGTTTCGATCCGTCTTAACCGGCATAAACGTACCCTGTGCAAGTTGCCTCAATATAGTCATTATGACAAAAGGTTATATAGAATAGATAAGACGTGGCTAGTAACAGAATCCAGGAGGCACATTTCGTCGCATTTAAGACACATCAGCTGAGTATACGTAGGTTCCATGACTGGTGTTCTCAGCAGGACACGAACCCAGTACCGTTCGTCTCAAACGCCAATGCGCGATCCACCTAGATACTGATATCACATAGCCATTCACTTGTGCAATGGGTACGAATTATAATGTATATTGTGAGGGGTATCGGAATGCTAGATCTGATTGATCCTAAAGAATGAATGAATCTGAGCCATTGTGATTGATTCTGAGCCGTCCCAGTATTTGTTGAAAAACTAAGGATTGTTAAGTTTGTCTTACATTGTTCCACTCGCTCCCTTTCCACTCTTTTCTATATTGTTTTGTACTACTTATTTACATTCAGTAAGCAGTTGTATTCCCAACAATTTTACACCTACGTTGTAACGTGATATTCTAAAATGTTCACATATACTTATTACGTTTATTGTACGTATCATCGTATTTATCATTTTAATTACTGTACCTTAATCACTGCAGCGGTTATCCACAGTTTCGTGCATTTGTTTAAACGCAACAGTTTTCATATTGTTTTGCTCTTGGTTCTGGTTTCGGTTGTGTATAAACTGTTGTCAAATATAGACACAGCTATTAGCTGTCCTTTGTATTATCGTATGTTGTAATTATTCTTTATGTTACTGTTACAGGAAGCCTTTTTGTTTCATACTTGAAGGACGCGTTTAAACGCCCCAGACACCTCACAGGTTGAGGTTTGTAACTAAATTTTGTGTATTATTGAATAAAGAACCACTATTATAGACAAATAGTTGTTTTGGAACTTCGGTTTCGCGTGTATCTCAATCGGGTGACCTAGACGCTTCGAAAGATCTACTAAGGATTGAGCGTTATTAGATGGATCTCAGCAACTTCTTGGTAATTTATGTACTAAATTGTTAACCGAACCAACTTTGTGATGTAGCACTCGCATCCCGCTAGCTGTGCGAGCAGACTTAAATAAGTGAAGCAATTATCTAAAACTTGTGCTTCAATTAACATCACTTTCTATAATTTCGAAAGGTCATAATGGAAATTATTTGCGGTTAGATTCCATCAATTGTCGATATAAAAACTGAAATAAAGTTGCAATATTTTAAAATGGAAGTAATTGAACGATCGGTTGAACAATAGGAGATTAATAAATGAAATTTATTATAAACAGTCGTGGACTTTAATGAAGCATTCAATTTAATTAAACTAGACGATAATAGCGAATTACTTGAAGAACACTTACCATGCTTTGGTGTTGTTAATCCATGATAAGTATTATTCAGTGTTGGGATAACATGAGATGATTCATTTTGATTGATATAAAATGATGGAGCTGGTACCGATAATGGTGATGTACTATTGTACATATACTGTTGGTATAAAGACTGTTGCAAATGTATTGTACGTGTATTGGCAGGTGATATACGCCGATTAACATCGCCAACCAGTAATGGACCAGCGACATTGATCCACATATCATTCAGCGAGTTTGAGTCATCTACGTGATTAGCTAGATGAAAAAAAGACAAGCATTTGTATAGAAGTTTTAGCTTCTTTTTTCATAATATCTTAACAATATTATATCATCTATATTGAGTAGTGATACGTCTGCTACTGCAATGCTTATTACTGATTTCCTAGCCATCTCCTAAAAACCCCAGACTAATTCCACACTTCAACTAGGATCATAGAGAAAAGATTAAGAGCTTATGTGACCCTTGACTTCTAGATTTATCTAGAAACGTACCAAATCTAGCAACGGAAGAGGCAATCGTCCAGTCACTTGATTCTTCATTTATCTAGATGTTTTTGAGCAGCTTCTATTTGGTGCTGGTTGGATAAAACATTTCCTGGCATTTTTTGTGTTTCTAGAGACTTTACTGAAAGATAATTTGTGACTCCTTAACAAATAATTTAGGAAACTATCATCCTACAACGTTGATTGTAATCTTTTGAAATGTCGATACTGATTTTATGAAACACTGTCAATTGAAAGAGGGTTTCTGGTGCATTAGTTCTAGAGGATCTCATATACCTGTATGTACGTAACCTATTTATCGTCTTGAAATGACGAATATCATCATAAAAATGAGAGAACGAAAACGGACATCAGGTGATTACCTGCTTTAGCTTGGATACCCAGGGCAGTATTAAAGCTTTCATATTAATGATGATTACTATCATGAAAGAAACGAAAATCCTGTATCGCTCTCCTTATATGTAAACCTTTATCACTTATGAAACTCACAAACTAAAGTAATTGAGTTCAAACCAATAATAAACAAATTAATAGATTGATTGAACTACAATTCTGGGTTCGACATCTTCCGGAATTTTGTAAAACAGGAATGTATTGTTGAAGGAATTCAAAAAATAAACCAGAATACGAGTATATAATATATTGCCATTAACATACTACTAATCTTAAATTAGTTAGACTTCAAAGATAATGAGCAGTTAAGGGTATTTACACTGACACCATCTATCTTAAGTTGTATCAGCTAATATTTTGAAGAATAAATTATCAATAAGTTAAAACAACAACACTTTATACTTGGATGAACATTATTTCTTGTATTGATTGTATTCAATATATGTGCAACTCATGGGCAACTTTGCTTCGAACCTTGATCCACAATAGAATGGTTACACATGTTGACAATCACATTAACAAGTACATACATACACACATACACACTGTCACATACTTTCGCCATAATATTACACACGTTTGAACTAAATATTGTTTGTTCCACAGAGTTCTCATGAATTATTACCAACAACGAAAATAATAAACTTTTAATTACTGAATAAAATCGAAATTCAACAATGTAATCTTGTAATACTAATTGTCTTACCTGAAGAATGATACTCACATTCATAATGATTTGACGAAACACTATTTAATGCATTATTAACTTGTGGAAATTGTCTAGTTAATTGATAATTACCATTACTATTGTTATAATAATTGTCATAATAATGATCATTCATATCCAATAATCTACTATTCATTGGATTTACAAGATATCCAGAGTCTGATAGTTTATGTGTATTAGTAAATGGGATATTATCAGAAGATTGATTATAAGTTGAATCAGTATTTTTCATTTCTATACATGATGGTTTAGACCATGAAACACGTGAAATACGTTCACTTTGTGGTTGATATTGTGGTGGTAAAGGATAATATTGATTTTGTGGTTGAATATGACAACCTCCATGTTGATTAGTTAAATTTGAACCTGTAAAACAATTTGAAGTAGTTGCACGTCTTCCTGATTGTGGAGTTGGATTTGTGGATAAACTTGGAATAAGAGAACGCCAATCTAATAAAGATCGATTCATATTGATACGATTGATAAAATCCGATGTAGATCTATTTCATGATAAAATGGTATAATTTGATTTTAAGATTATTATTGAATTAATAAATTAATTAAACACTCGTATAAAAACAAATTACAATAGGCTGCCCTGTCCCAGGAACAACTATTTCTGAACTCGAAAAATATTGATGGATAACTGTTATGTAACCACTGATCATGTGAAGGTATTACTTGGATTCAAAATACCAAGAAAGAGAAAATCAGTTCATGGAATTGAGAATATCTGGCTAGGGTTAAATATATTTTAGCAACTACTGTCTTTTTCAACTATCCAATCAGTCATCTCAATTGTGCCTAGTGAATGAATAACCATATGATGCAACCAAGTGCAGATTTGTGTGTAAGGTTCTAAGATCTGTTTATTTTGTTAAGGATAAAAATACATTGGTCAGATGCACTGATTACAGGACAACATACTGACGCGATTATTATGGAGTAGTATCGTGTTTTCGTGAATCTAGCACAATAGTAAATTAAACAAAATGCAAGGATAAGAGAAGTGTAACTGATGTGAACAAAGGGAAAAGTATGTGCTCTATTGGTGACTACATAGAGAATCAAGTATTAAACTATGAATCACAGATTTTTGGAAAGTTAACATTACTATCAATTTTTTTTAGAAAGAAACCGTGATCAGTGGGGCTAATCCTTATAGGATATGACTCAGTTACCCACCACAAACAATTGAAGATCGTCGAGCAGTATATCGTGGATTGATTAATGTCAGACATTAACACTGTTGGATAGCAACTCAGTGGTCTAGAATTTAAGCATTTGTGCGCGAGACTAAAAGCCATGGGTTTGATTTTTACGTTCATGAAATTGAATGTCCACTGCTGAGGAGTCCCATACTAGGACGATTATATTTTTATTGTACGATTATCGAATACTTGAACAGTTGCATTTTTATATTCTTGTACTTGAAAGCTTTAGTTTGATTCATAAATTGTTTCTATATGCGTTCCACTGTTCCGGAATTATCATTGATTAATTACTCCTCCACACTACTTCGCTCTGCACCATTTTTTGATTCAGTTGCGTACACATGGTGATTTTCTATGTGTAGTACTGTGTGATCAAGTATTTAGTGTATATTATCATAAGAGTTTTGGAGTTACATTGATAATAAACAATAGAGTTAGAATCTGTTTCCCAAAATCATCTTAATCAGAAACTGGGTTACAAGTAGCATGTTGACCAATACGTGTTAAAATTTTGGTCGTTTCTTTTCATTAGTCATTGATTTGATAAACATAAAGCGAACAAGCACAACAAACCAACATTAAAATACAACTGCTCTTATAATAAATCTACTCGAATGAAGACGTCTCGACAATGGTAAAGAGGTTTGTCTTTTTGAAAAAAGTGAATAATGAACAGAATAATTACTATCGATAACTTCGTCAGGTTCTCTACACTAGAATATGTAAAAGAAGAAGATTGTTTATTCTAACAATTCTTTATTTCCTGGAGGAATTTTAAATAATGTCATGTTTTTTATGACACTTACCTATTAAAAAAGTTCAATGCATTATGAACAACTGAAACTTTGGTCTGTGCATTAGCATCTTCATTGTCTTCGTCGTTGTCTTCAACATCATCATCATCACTATCAACATTATTATTATTATTATTATTATTATTATTATTATTATTATTATTATTATTATTATTATTATTATTATTATCCACAAGTGTAGCTGTCAAATTTGAATTATCATTAGTAGTAGTAACAGAAGTGGTAGTAGTGGTAGTCGGAATACTAGTCATAATATTTTGATGATGCGCTGATTGTCTTATAACATTAATTGACGAAGAATTATCATCAAATGATTGTCTAGATGATTTTGAAAATAATAAATGTTTACTATCTCGAGTCACATCTATACTACTATGATGTGAATAAGGAGTACGATGATGCGACGACGGATTATGAGTGATAGTAGTAGTAGTAGCAGGCGAAGTATTATAATGTTGAAGGAATGGACGTTTGATTTTTGATAGCGCTGATGATAGTAAATTATATCCGTAATGAATGTGTTCATTTTCAGAATCTTCATCATCATCTGCGCATGAATCATCATCACTGAGATTGGTATCATTACTACTGCTACTACTATTGTTGTGATCATTAATAACGTCAGCTGAGGCAGAGACAGACTTAACAGTGTCAGGAGCACTAATATGATTCTCCACTATTGATGAAGGGTTTTCCCTTACGTGTGTTACATTATTTTCATCATCATTACCAATAACTATAGTTGGGTCTGATTGTTCAACATTACTCAAGCTTGATGTTTGAAGACAATTTAAACTGGAAGAAGGTATAGATTGGCCGACAGTATTTGAACTGCAACCTGTAAAAGATGATAAATTACCAGATAGAATATATATCTATATCTATATATTTGGATAGAAAGACAGCAAGAAAGAAAGAAAAATCCCGACTACTAGTCAGTTCCATGACATCAACTTGATTTTAGTAAAATGAGTTTAACTAAGTTGGAATTCAAATCATAATGAGTACTGTATCGATATGAAAGACGATATAAACACGGTAAGATAACTGTCTCAAGAAATAGTTGACAGTGAATATGTAATATAACACTTCTTAATGAATCTTAGCGTAAAACTTTATTTAATCTAAAAAATTTTAGTAAGCTATTTTGTTCTGAGCCGCCTAGATACGCCAAAGGGCAAAGAGAATCCAATATTTTTTTCGAAATGCTCTTAAAGGCCCGTGCATTTTTAGCCTATGACAGAGAAGTGCTACTAACTAACTTCACTCGTCCAGAAGTGTTACTTATGAAAGTGAGAGGACAAAAATGCCGACGTTTGACATGAAAACCGGACTAGATATGGTGGATTTATCTACGAGAGTTAGGAAATCCTGATACTAAGTAGTCCGTATACATGGTCTCTGTGATTCCGAGGTAACGATTAGTGCATGAACATATTCTTGGTCATTGGTAATCATAGAACAACATCACCATGCGTTGCTCCGTCGATAGCGGATTAAACTTTTAGGGTTAAAGGCTCGAGGAGTGGCTCCCTAAGGAAATCATCTGCTTTGGTTTAAGACCCCTGACAATATACCTATATGTGACGCACACTATTTCAGAACCCCAGGTGTATCAGATCCTATATCAATTAAGAAAACAAAATGATCAACTGTACCCTTTGACGGAATAAATCATATAAATAATACGTTTGTATACTAGAAAAACACCGTACTAGTTATGTGTTCTTTTGACTGTGAAATTTGATGACATAAAGTGTCGTCACCGTTACCAATAACAGATGATTCTTGATGACTTTCTGTTAATTCTTGAATTCGTTGATGTTGTTCCATTGGAAGTGGATGATTATCATCGGTTGAAACAACACATGACATCGAATCATTGTTGATATTTGTAGATTGGTCAACAACAGGTGACCAGTCTTGATCTGAACTTGTCTTATCTTCATGTATATTCAATGTTGAATATCCTTGATCAGTAAGATCATCAGATGAATTAAACGGTTGAGGTACAATGACGCCAGCTACATTCAATAAAAAAATACTTTATAGCACAACAAGATTAACACCGGATTCATAGAACTAGTTAATTCAGTGGTGGTAATATATAAAAGAAAGATTGCATATAACGATATAGTGCAGGAAGAAAGAATTAGTTCGCAGAAAGAAAGATATGAAGCTATTTTAATCTCTTAGTTTAAGTGAAGACAAAGAGTGATCGATTCTGAGCTATGTCAACCACAGTCTCCAAACATTGTTTACGATAGTCACGTGGACCCCAACCAAGTAGTCTGCATCTACCAACATGGCTCATACCAGAAGTTAGTGACTTCAAGCACTGATGCCACGTTTTGGTTTGGCCACCCCTAACTCTCTTCCAACCAACCCCTACACCGGTTAGCATTGCACGTCGTGGTAATCGGTGTTCAGGCATACGTAACACGTGGCCCAACCATCTCAGTCGATGAAGATTCACAACCTCATCAACTGATTTACCATCATTCCCTAATACCCTGCGTCTAACCTCACTATTACTTACTCGGTGATCCCAGCAGACGCCAGCAATATTTCTAAGGCATCTGTGGTCAAATACTAGTAGCTTACGAGTGTCTTCTACTCTTAATGGCCATGTTTCGCTGCCGTAAATTAAAACAGAACGGACTGCCGCGCAGTATACTCGCCGTTTTATTAATAGACGGATATTTCGCCTTTGCCATAGGTGACGTAAGGTGGCAAAAGCCAAACGAGCTTTTCGAATCTGTGCTGAAATTTTTACAGACACCAACCCATTACAGTAAAACTGTGTTGATGTTCGTATTGAAGATTCCGACTCTGGTGTTGTCTGACGGTTGTTTTGAGTTCCATATGTTCTTCAACTGCAGGAATGTGGTCCTTGCTTTGCCAATTTTCGGCCTTACATCTGCATCAGATCCTCATTGTTCATCGATGATGTTGTCCAGGTACATGAAAGTTTCCACCTCTTTCAGAGTTTCTCCATAAAATGTGATTGTGTTGGTGTTCTTCGTGTTATATTTTAGGATCTTGGTTTTTCTTATATGTATGCTGGGGCATATTGATGTAGCAGAAGCTGCTGTTACATTAGTTGGCTTCATCTGCATTTGTTGGTGGGTATGCGATAGAAGGGCCCGACCGCCTGGGAAGTCCTAATTGGTTCCGAGCTGTCCATTGTATTGCGTGCTTCCCCTCAGATGTGGAGGTCTTCATAATCCAGTCAACCAGAAGAAAAAGAAAGGGTGATAGAAATCCAACTGATATATATTAGTTACTTATAAACCAAGAAGGAACTAGTATAAATATGCACTTGTTCAAGTTAGGATAAAATAATATATATATATATATCCACAAAGGACGCACATGTATAATAAAGACTGGTCGAAATTTAACCTTAACTATCGACAACGGGATAATCCAGTTCATTTTTAATAATAATATAAACATTACACATGTTGAACATGTTAGTAGCTATCTGAACTCAGTATCTCAGTTGATAACACATTAGATATTTGAAGCGAAAAGTACTCGTTCCACGTTTCAATATAAGTATCATACTAGGATACAGGTATATGCAGTTGACGAGTCCGTAATAGAACGAAACGAATACGATGAATTATATTGCCAACCACAATTCATCTATCTAAGTTTATTAAAACCACAACAATCCAGAAACAACCTGACAATAAAATGGTTTTTTATATATGTATAAACGAACTTGTATTTTCAGAACTATTAATTTGTGTAGATGGATTCAGTTCAGTATCGGCAGAAGCCGAACGACGATGACTATGATGTTTAGATGTGGACATCAAACGTTCGTTTTCCAATCTTTCGTGTTCTCTCAGCTCTTTCTCAAATGCTTTGTAAATCTAAAAAAATGTTGAAATATTGAATAACTATCTGTGATAAGAGAGGGAGAGCATAGTTTAGCAAACCTTAAAATAGAATTAGACTTATAGTTAAGGAAAAAAACTTATTTTTCTACAATTCAGCTTTAAAAGTGAAGAAATTACAGGGTTAACCAACTGTAAAATGTATTATGATTAAAAGTGACCACTTTTCTCAACATTGCAGAAACTTGACAATGGATCAACAGAGGTCACGTTGTCAACATTTTAAGTTCAAGTTTACAGAAATGAAAAAATTCTAGAAAAAAAATTATGCAACTTGCATCTATATGCTACGTGAGAGTAGCTAATTAAAGATTCAAATAAAAACTTGTGGACTAAAAAGGAGACTTCTATCAATTTATCACTGATATAATTAAGCTGAAAAATTCGATAATCTTGTTTCTAATAACTATTATCATTATTTATATTATCTAATTTTTAATTCACTCGCCTTAATCGTACTTCAGATGGAGACCAAGTCTCAATATCAGTCAGTCAGTTAGTCAGTAACAACGTAGAACTTCGTACGTACGTACATCAGTTCAAGTTGTCATACCATATTAGCACAGAGATGCAGTTGTCGATTCAAATCCCGTAGTGGTAGAGTTAGTAAGAGTATAAGCAGTAATCGGAAAATTTAGGGTTTGAAGATGTTATTCAAGGTGTATAATCTAGTGAAACAAATTTGGAAAGAGAAAAAAAAGGACATGAAGAATTCAGGAGATTAGAATTTGGGAGAACACAAAGAGTAAATGCACCTGCGCTAAGTCTCAATGGTTGTATGATGAAAGTTGTAAATAGCTGACCATAGATGATTATGGTATTTTTCAAAAACACATGGACAAATCCATTGAGTAAACTAGACTAAGTAAATATGTACTTTAGTGCGCTTTATAAGAATCAACATTTTAAACAATATGATATTGAAACAACATATGGATTACATAAGAACAGATATTAGACTGGACCAAATATTGCACATGCATATTCTCAGTAATGAATAGTGGAAATAGTTGAATTTCATTAAAGTTATGGACCAATATAAGTTAGACCACCAGTAAATCCCGAGAACACTGGATGCTTGGTTCGTCCTAGTATGGGATTCTTCGGCAATTTTCAGCAACGATCCTAAACGCGGATACCGAACTCACAACCTTCGATCTCACGCATGAACGTTCAAACTCTAGATCACTGAGTTGGCATTCAACGGTGTTAATGTCTAACACCAATCAATACACGATAGTGTGCATCCACCTACGATTTGCGGTAGGTAACTGAGTAACATGCAATACGGATTAGCTCCACTGGTCACAGATCTTTAATAGTACTCTAGAAATTTCTTCTTGAAGCTAGTCATTAGTGAGACGACAGTCCAATGCATTCAGGTTTTCAATGGCGATGTAACCTAGGTTGGCTCATGGTTCCAATGACTTACGAATTCATCTACTGATATTCAAATTGAGTAGTGTATGATGAAGCGTCTAAAATGATTAGATAGAGAATACTCGGACATAAACGTAGTCTAGTGGAAAACAACATAGGATGAAATGACTGCTACAAAACTGGCATTAGTAGTCTCTGTTAGAGTATTAGAGTCACCGGATAAACTGAAAAATACTATCATATTTATCGAAAAAGAAACAAAGCTTACATGATTCGCAATTCCAGATGACGATGATGACCAGTCTACTGAATTAATGAACTTCAGTAAATCGAAATCTTCAATACGATTTTGATACAATAACACTAACAATATTCGTAAAGCAACCTGAAACAATCAAGTAATAATGTTAGAGATAAAATACTACACCACAAGCAAAAAAACAGATATCACTGTTTTATTAATATTAATAATATATTTGTAAATATTCGAATGAGTAGAAAAAAAAAGTTTTCTGACGTTTCGTGACTCACTGTAAGCCATTTTTTCAGAGAATAAGCAAGCAGATTAGGTTAACCCTAGGTTAAATATTATAAAGAAACGAATCAAAAATAGTTGGCACAATCAATTATAAAACAAGTCCGGTCAAGTCAATGTCTTATCACTCCGGTAAGGTGATTTATATAAGACATGTTTGTGAATGTGTGCATGTGTGTGTTAGCAGATAAAAATTGTGATGTTTGTAATGTGAAAGGATAGAGTTGAGTTTGTATATATGGTATTGGTGTGAGATGTGGATAGAATGAGATACAGTAGCTCGAAAAGATGTTCCAAGTCGGATGGATAGCAAAGGCCTTCTTTTCTATTTGGGACAGAAGGATTCAGCAATATATGAAAAACTTCAGCTATTCGTCAAAGTAGAACCTGACACCTACGTGCATCAGTTCAAGTTTTCGTACCACATAAACACACTGAAATAAAATAGTGGGAGTAGTAATAGTAACAGTAGTGGGAAAGATTAAGAGTAGAAGCCAGAAGAAAAGGCACTAGGAGAATTCGGGACTCAGGCTCTAATGAAAGGCAAGGAGTAAGTGCATCTGAGCCATTGCAAATGATTTTGATTTATGATATCGAAATTCGATAACCATAGAGTTACGATAATCACGTGGATCCCAACTAAAATATCTGCATTTACTCACATGACTTATTCCCATAGTTAGTATCTTCAGAGACTGATGGCGTATCTTGGTTTGGTCACTATTAGCTTCCTTCCAATTTATTCCTACAGTCAGTCAGTCAGTCAGCTACAACGTAGGACCAGGCACATATGTGCATCGGTCCAGGTTGCCATACCTCATTAGCACAACAAGATGAACACCGGATTCATAGGAGTGGTTAGGTCGAAGGTTGCAATAAGGATATAGTATAGGAAGGAAGAATTAGTTCGCAGAAAGAAAGATATGAAGCTATTTTAATCTCTTAGTTTAAGTGAAGACAAAGAGTGATCGATTCTGAGCTATGTCAACCACAGTCTCCAAACATTGTTTACGATAGTCACGTGGACCCCAACCAAGTAGTCTGCATCTACCAACATGGCTCATACCAGAAGTTAGTGACTTCAAGCACTGATGCCACGTTTTGGTTTGGCCACCCCTAACTCTCTTCCAACCAACCCCTACACCGGTTAGCATTGCACGTCGTGGTAATCGGTGTTCAGGCATACGTAACACGTGGCCCAACCATCTCAGTCGATGAAGATTCACAACCTCATCAACTGATTTACCATCATTCCCTAATACCCTGCGTCTAACCTCACTATTACTTACCCGGTGATCCCAGCAGATGCCAGCAATATTTCTAAGGCATCTGTGGTCAAATACTAGTAGCTTACGAGTGTCTTCTACTCTTAAAGGCCATGTTTCGCTGCCGTTGTTGCTACCTTGACGTGGTGGTCGGGCTTGCCTATCGTGATGAAGCAACCGAGCTATACTGGCTGGAACAACCGTTCCACAAGGTCCTACCATGTCAGACAGGTCGGTTGAAGAGCGGTAAGACTAAAAGCAACAAACCCAAGGTCCGAAGGCGAAGTCGTATTGCTGACTGTACAGAGGTGTGACAGCAGTAAGGTGTTTCCTTCAGACAACCAGCATGACAGCGATGCTGCCTTCCCACAAGGAGGGGTGGGGTTAGAAAAGGTCGACCCTAAAAATGCACACCTCACCTTACCTCACGGATTTCCGTCTCCGGCGGTAAGGCCCTTTGAAGAACGGAGCTAACACGTCGAAAACCTTCCACGAAAAGGCCGTGCGCGACCGGCCTCAAGCAGTTGTCCCTTGGGCTCTGCGGTCACGCTCCCAGGTCGTCAAGACCAACACTAATCCAATTTCCTTTTCAGGTACCTCCAGAAGAACCCTTCCACGGTGTGGGCAACCGGGAAGTGATAACCGCCCTCATGCCTCTAACAGCACCCAAGACCACTGTATTCAATTCCTATTTATTCCTACATCAGCATTCATCGCATGTCCAGTTAGTTCGTGCGTTGGCATACATAACATATATCCTAACCATCTCAGTCAACAAATATTCACTATAATTGATCAGTTTCTTCTGGCATATCCATATCCTGAGCAGATTGCCTCTATACAGTCATCAGTCACAAGAATTTTGAAGTAGAGTTGAGTAGTGGCTATTTTCGACTTCAACTATCTGTCACACACACATATATATACAGAGAATAGGTTAAAAGGTTGGTCAATGAGATTGTATATTGATTAATAATTCAAAATCTAACCTGATCAGGAACTTCAAGTTCATAGTCGTGTATTCTCTTGTATACACCAAGCGATTGTATTATAATTTGTTTAATTACATTCATCCCTTCAAGATAATTACCATTATTATTATTATCGTTATCGTTATTACTAATAATATGATTGAATAATTTACACCCTGTACTTCCACTCTGTTGTTGTACATTATGATATTCATTAACAATTTCAGTTTTATTCACACAATGATTTATATTGTCAATTTCATCTGTATAGTATTTATACACAGAAGATAGATAACCTGGTAATAACATAAACCAAATTGAATAGGCAGATCCTGCTAAATACTTGACTTTCGTATAATCATCAGTTTCTGAAATACTAATACCTAGAAGAGTGAAAATGTCAAAAAACAAACATAATTACATAATGAGGAGAATTGAAGGGAAGTATAACTTTTAAGGTGATTATATGAAAGACTATTTATCTATATCTTTAGTGTACAAATGGTACAGCCTTAGATTGTTCCATGATAGAATTGTCCTTTTTTTCTAAACTTTTGTTTGATAAATAAATCGTTGTTATATCTTATTAGTCGAAATTTACCATTATATAAATATTTATTTATTACTCCGATTTCGTATTAGTTATAATTAAGTTACGTATATATTGTAATTCTTAAATTGTGGTGCTGTGTAGTCAGCTATTTCAGGAATATTACTGTGTAAGTTAAAAACCATGATTGAATTGATCACAACTGAAAGTTGATCTGCATTTTATCTTCGTCTTTTGATTGGTTACTGAGTTAGAAGGGGCATGAGAACCAATAAACATTAACATCTATCTTTGTTGTTATTTATTGGTTGATGTGTCAATTAGTGAATAGGACATAGGTGCCTACTGGGAATAGAATTGAATTAATCGATAATATTACTTTTGTGTTTTTTTTTAAAGTCACATTATTGACGAGTTTAGTGAATTTTTAAAGAAACGAGCACGTAACAAGAAAATGTCGCATTAACAAAAAATGGTTTTTTCTTTGAAACAAGTGAAAGTATTGCTGTATTAATAGAAATTGTGTCAGGAAAAATGTTTATTTCGCAGTAATATTTTGATCCTTTATCAGGTAAACAAATAGATCTCTATATTTCTTGCATTCAATCTTGTATCTTAGTGAATGTCAACTAACTTACTAAGACTGCTTTGAGTAACTAATAGAAAATCAGTGTAAACCCAGTAGATTTTTTTTAACCTATCCGTCTCCTCTAGAAAAGATGTAAAAAAAATAATTATTAGAACTTATTACATGGAAAGAAACTGTTTTCCATTCAACTCACAATGATTTAGCGTATATCGTAATTCTTGTGATGTACGCCTTAAAATAGTTGCATTATTCACTGGTAAACAATATTTTGTACTCAAACCAACTAAACTCGTATTCTCTGGACGATTTGAACGAATAATTAGTGGAGATGGACTGTTTACTAACATTAATGAGCCAAATCTTTGAGTAGTGTTAAGTTGTAGTTTTGTCATCATTAATATTGACATTCCAGTCGGTGTTCGAGAATCTGGATTATGGTCTAATATATTGGTATTTACTGGGGATTTTGACCAACAGTTGACAGGAGTTGGTGATAAAAGCATATCACTACAGATGGTAGAATTAGAAGAAATGCAATTCTCTTTATTTTTAACCTCTTCTGGTACTGATGTTATCAATGTAGTAATTAGAGTGGAATTATCAGGGTTATCATTAACATTAAACATTGGTGTGATTATAGAATTATTTGACAAAGTAGCTTTTAAAAGAAATGCTCTTGAAGCTAATAAGTCTAATAATGTAGAATTAATATTAGTTGGAAAAAAACCGAGTGAATGTTCTTTTGTCCATAATAAGTGTTGCAGTTGAGGTGTGTCGACGAATTCAGGAACTGGCCAACATGGAGGACCAATAACTGTTATACACAGACTAAAAAATGGATAGGAAAAGAATAAAAATAAACTAATTGAAACAAGGAAAACAACCAGTTAATTAAAAAAATTGAATTTGGCTAAAGCTAGATCGACTAGATTGTGATTCATTGGTGAGACGTCACTTCATATCATTAGCTCATTGTCATGTTGTCGGACTAATGAACCGATAAATATAAATATGAATTGAACTAAAGCGTCTAGTGGTATTTCTGTACTAAAATCCTAGCCCAAATATACAAACCTCATGATTATTTGACCTCGTTTGTTATTCCTATGTACCTGCTTCGGTCTGGGCACTCGGGCAGTATCACAGCCCTCACACAAATCGAATGATTTATGCGGCGCATTTCTCTTTGGTGCCTCCTTGTACCAATGTTTGTGTGTTTAAATAAATAAACAAGTAGTGACAATTTTTTAGTACCAATTCGCTTACTACAACAATTGGTTGTATTCCAGGAATGTATAAGAGCAACTAAGCAATCAAATGCATATAAAAATGTGATCAATTTGATTCGCGACTTCAGTTGTAGCAGGAGAATACCAGGTAACGCATATCGAGGTTAGATGTCGTGGAAGTTGATGATGAGAAACAGTTTGTGACATGCGCAAAATTAGAAAATACAGCATGTTTGATTTAACCTTCAACCACTAAGTGTCTATTGTCCATCTAAACAATACTCTACTATTTCTAGACCTTAAACTTGTATATTTCAGCCATTAGCTAATACTTTAATATACGTGAAACACAATTTATTGAAGATATTATTTAAATGACCATAGAACCTAACTTTTATTGGATTGAAATTAAAATACAATCAACTCATTCACCAGGTACCTGTGTATGAAACACACTCAAAGCGTGAGAGCTAATGATAGTAACCAGATTGTATGAACCAGACAAGTAGATAAGGTGTGGTTGGCTACAACTCATTCATTCGACAGTTCAGTTATCGTATAGGTATTGTCCGTACATCTGAGCAAAATGTGTAATCTAACTGCATTATTAATATAATCACATTCTATATGCAATATATGTGATAGAAGAGGACCATTATTTGAAGTGAATTTATCTGTTAACATATTTTTCTTCAAGTTAGAAAGAAAAATGTCGTGCCTAAAATAGTTTTAGAGACTAGTTGATAAGAAAACTACTTGCAATATACTGATAACAAACTGAATGTTGTACGTTCCTGTCTACATGATGCATAAATATATACATCAATGAAGTCAGCGAAGGGAATCTTTTTATTGTTTCTAAAAAGTTGCTAACATTCATTAACAAAACCATGTTAGTAATACTGATCTTTGGTAATGCATGTTAGGCCCCTGTAAAGATAGTTTACTTATTACCGTCATCTTTGAACTCCAGCTTTAATCGCTTAGATATATTTTAAAAAATTCAACGCAGGCGCTTTCATTTCGCTGATTAATTACCGAGACTGTGATTAGGAGGGAAGGTGGAGAAGTGATCAATTTGTGATATAATGTCGTGGTATGAAATGAAGCTGTATAAGACCAGTCCATCAGAATCTTGTAGTTAAAATCCTATAGAGGACATGACTTCGTGGATTGACATACCACCAAACACGACTCAGTATGGAAACTATTAGCTACTCAATCTTCCTTATATTCTTGATAAAACTGACAAGAAATTTCTTCGAATGAAGGGATTCATTCTGTTTGTATTTCAAAACTAAACTGTATCTTCTCTCATGATAATAACTTTATTTATTTACACTGTTATTGTTTTTCTTGTTGCATGCACTGCATTTCCTTCCTTCATTTCTTCACAACGTTATCTCTTTTTGTGCGACATATACAACTACCCGATCGTATTAGATTTTATGCAAATGAAATAACTGATTAAGAAAAAAAGAATTCAAAGATGAGAAAAACACTCACTTGTTATTATTAGGTAAAAGCCCTAAATCACTTGAAAGCTGTGAATCCGTCGATTCATCCGATCTATCTTTGATCGATGTGTTACTTGACACTGATCGATCTTCTGAATGATTATTATGATCCGCATAGCTTAGATGATTATTACTACTACTATTACTATTATGATTATTTGCAATGCTCAGTTGTTCATGAGACGATGATGCCGATCGTTTAATTGTGAATATATTACTCATAGTTGTTAAACTAATATTATTACGAGAACGATGAAGATGTTGATGATGATGTGGTCGAGATTTCGATTCACTTTCTAGCAATAATTCAATACGATTATCGAAATAATCCAATTCTTCATCACGTGATGAAGCGTAAATTCGATCACGAACAAAATTATTCCACTGTTGTGTTTCAAATAAAGCACGATAAAATGGTATTGTATGCTTATCAGCGCATTCTCGTAAGAAATCTGATTGAAAAATAAATGGAAAGAGATAGGATTTAAGTGTAATAAGTATGAAAAACACTTCAGATGATATATATATATATATATATATATATATATATATATATATATATAGAATCATTCATTTGATCTCACCATACCAAAATAAAAAACCAACTCGATTCACACCTCGTGCATCTTGAAGACCTGATGCTGCTTCTCGTAGCCTCGCCGGCGTAGGTATAACATTGAGTCCTAGGGCAGAACTAGCTTTCTTAGACTGGATCCCAGTAAACAGTCATTTCTGCGCTGTTCAACTAAACGGAACAGTAAGGACTCGGAAAGATAGGGACACTCGTCGTTGCCTTTTCGTCGTCTCTGCCTATTTCTCCCACTGACTGCAGCTCAGATGATGTAAAAAATGAGTTTTACAGAAAGCTTTCCGACCTTCTCCGAAATGCTAGGAGCTCTGATGTAGTAGTGGCTGGTGACTTTAATGCTCAGGTAGGTAAACTAAGAGAAGGGGAAAGATACCTGGGTGGATCTTATAGCACCGTGGCTCAAAGAACGGATAATGGCGACCGTCTGTTGCAGCTATGCTCAGATAACCGCCTCTTCATTGCAAATACTAACTTTAAGCATAAGCAAAAACATCTGGTTTTCGACCTGGACGTCGTTGTATAGACCAGATATTCACACTACAAATCCTAGAACACAGACACACATTCAGACGCCTCACAATCGTAGTATTACTCGACATTAAGCCGGTATTTGACTCTGTTGATCGTCAGGTTCTGTGGCAATATTTGTCACTGAAAGGAGTACCAAAGATGTACATTAACCTTATAAAGGCTCTCTACTCGAACACAACTGGTAGAGTGAGAGCTTATGGCGAACTGTCATCAGAGTTGATTACCTCAAGTGGTGTTCGTCAAGGATGCCCACTCTTTCAATTCTTGTTTAACTTTGCCGTTGAGGTGCTTTCAGAGATGACACTTTCCTTATCTAAATTTCCAGAGGTTGAACTTATACCAGGATATTCACTTTTTGACCAAGAATAAGCCGATAACATAGTTCTATTTGGTGAAGGCGCTGACAAAATGCAGTCTTCTGACCACTCTAAGCAACAATGCAAGCATGTTCGGGATGCGATTCCCCCCCCGAAATGCAAAATGTTGCTTCAGGATTGAGTTACATCGACACCCGAACTAATGATAGAGTGAAGTAGTCGAGCTTGTCGATCGCTTCACTTATCTTGGAAGTCTCATCAGCCCTTGTGGTCTGGTGTGTGACGAAATCTCAGCACGGATACAGAAAGCTCGACTAGCTTTTGCCAACTTGCGTCATTTATGGCGTAGGCGAGATATCCGTCTATCAACAAAAAGAACGTGTGTACTGCGCAGCAGTTCGTTCCGTCCTACTTTATGGCAGTGAAACATGGCCGGTAAGAGTAGAGGATATTCGTAGGTTAGTAGTATTCGATCATAGATGTCTTCGAAACATTGCTCGTATATCATGGGACCATCGAGTAAGTAACACAGTTGTTAGGAAACGGGTACTAGGTAAGGATGGCAAATCAATTGATGATGTAGTGAAACTTCATCAGTTGAGATGGCTGGAACCCGTGCTACGTATACCCAACCACCGACTGCCTCGACGTGCGATGTTCAGTAGTATAGGAGTAGGTTGGAAGAAAGTTAGGGGCGGCCAGACCAAAACATGGCACAAGTCCATGAAGTCACTGACAAGTAGACTGAGTCATGTTGGTAGGTGTAGACTACCTGGTTGGGGACCGCGAGATGATAGCAACCGATGGTTAGAGACCCTGAATGACATGGCTCAAAATCGTTTGCAATGGCGCAGGTGCATCCATTCTTTGTGTTCTCTCAAATTTTAGTCTCCTGACTCTTCCTTGTCTCTTTCTTCTCTTCCCAAATTTGTTTCACTGTATTATACTCTTTAAATAACATCTCCAAACCCTAATCTTCCCGATTACTGGTTATACTCTTGCTACCTCTACCACTACGGGATTTGAATCGACAACTGCATCTCTGTGTTAATATGATATGGCAACTCGAACTGATGTACGTACGTACGAAGTTCTACATTGTTACTGACTGGCTGACCGACAATATATAGAAAGCTTTCGAGTATTGAGTGTTTAACACTGATATCCAAATCTCAATAGCCCAAAGATTACAATCAATTTTTTTCAGATTAATAGCTATCAACTACCTATTATGGAGACATCGGAAAGCCAGACATCAAAACCTCAGCAGATGGAAAATATTGCAAGTATAAATTCATGTTTATTACGTGTTACAACTGTGAAATTTTACTTACGTTCAATATTAAACATAATATCCGTTTGAGAATTACGAACAGGTACAAGACATAAGCGATAATCTTTCAATAAATGCACCATAAATTGTAGAAATGCTTCTTTAATACATGAACCAATTTGTGTCTAGATTTAATGAAGCAAAGAAAATAAAAAGATTTTAAATTAAAAAGGACAGTACACAACCAAATAAGTGAGATGATAATGAACTACTTATTTATTATATAAGTAGTACGAAATAGTAATCAAGAAATAGACAGCTTATGAAGAATGCCCGTAAGAAAAATTTAAAAATGAAATAATTATACATAGACAAAAAGATTGTTTTAATGATGAATACAGTGTAACAACTTTCCAACCAACTAATTAGCTACCAAGGAAGGAATGAGCATACAGACGACTTTCATAATAATCTTACAAATATGAAAATAATAATTACAGTGGGTGTTGACATAAACACAGAAATAGACGACACTCAGAATGATTATATGTAGAAAATACATTGTTCCAAGAAATCTAGCGTACCTGCAAATTTTGTTCAGGAAAATGAAGAATGAATCTTATAATTAAATAATACAGTTTGGATAAAGACATATCATATCAAGGTTTGAGAAAGAAGTATAAAGATAATGATCACCTGATTTATCTATAGTGCTAATTAAAAGTATTGACCTAATCAATGAGTGAAAATTACACCTTTTCTCTTTACGTAGCTCATTCAACCCAATTCAATAATTGAGTTGTACCACATTTATGTACTAGTTATATTTTTTTTCTTCGATTAAGTGAATTATTACTATTATTAGTAGAAGTAATTTTATAAAGGAAGGATATTGTGAAAGTTGAGACTAAGTTTACCAAAGTTACAATTATTATTTTATTCTATTAGTAATGATTAACTGAACTAACATGTCTATACTATCTATTTATCGTAATCTTTTATTTAACCCATTAACTACTGTTACACAATTCACCATTTCTGCTTTGTTATCAGTCGATTAGTTACAGTCTAACACTTTAACAGTAAGTTACGGTTTTGTTAGTGAATAAATGTAATTTTTCAATTTATGATACGTTGTAGTCCATTATATCTGTTTATAAACCACGTCCGTTGAAAACATAAATTGGAGGCTGGTTGCTACTTCTAGACTCGAGGTAAAGAGTAATTTGCGTATAACAGGCCAATAAGAAATTAGCTACAACGACTCAAGGTCAGTAGTGCGGTGCAATCGATCGAATTGGAGACACTAGACTATCGAGGAAATAGTAGACATGAAATGGACTAAATTACAATTAAGGTTTTGATTGGTGACTTGGTACATGATATTGGTCAGCAGTCACAAGCGATAAAATACAACTCACATAATATTTGAATAGGTTATTCTTGATGACGATTATCAAAGAGATATGTAATTTACCAAATTAAATACTCTGATAAAAAACTTGTCATTTTTTAAAATCCGAACAGATAAAAAAAATTCATTCGTATTACTACGAAAGATCTGTGAAAATCTGATGAATTTCACAGATGGCAACACTAGGTACTACTGATCCGAGTTGAACAGTCATTAAGAAGCCAGAAAGGATTGAACAGATGTTTCTGAAAAGTATGGTACTTTATAACAGTGAGTATTCGCGACTCTATTACTATGTTTTCGTGATAGGCCTCAAACCTTTAGAACTACGGGTCAGAATCCATTGATTTATATTACTAAAGTCCATCAATTTGTAATATCGAGAAGCCATCGTCTAGTATCATTGGTAAGTGACTGCCTCTGATTTGACATAATTAAACTTCACTTGTCACGGCTTCTTACTAGAAACCTAGGAATTATCTCTCACTGCTGATGAGTCTCACACTAAAGCGAAACAGAACGGTACATGACATTAATCGTAAAAGTAATCTGATAAATTACAATGCATCATAATGATTAATGTTCTCTACAATAAGAACTTAAAACTGAAATGTGTGAAATTAATCGAAGTATTCAATGATCAATCGAGTTAATGACAGTTTCATGTATTATCATTCTTTTAACGAAAATAAGCCTCTTAAAAATTCTGAGTGATCTTAAAAACAGATTTTTTTAAAATGCATGCATATTTGTGTGATAACACTAAAACTAAAAACGTTGCGCACCGGTACTGAGTAGCTAATAATAATAATAATAATAATAATAATAATAATAATAATAATAATAATAACAATAAAGTTTTTGATTGAGATCATGAACTGGTTGATATCAGACCACCTTTGGAAACCTGGAAGCACTGAACGGGCGTTTCGTCCTACTGTGGGATTCCTCAGCAGTGTGCATCCATGACCCCGCCCACGGTATTCGAACCCAGGACCTTCAGTCTCGCGCGCGAACGCCTAACCTACTCGACCACTGAGCCGGCATCCAATGGTGATAGTGTCTAACATCAACCAATCCACAAAATTGCGTGACCATCTTCCATTTTACTGAGGTAGATACCTGTCTCTACCCGACATGGATTAGATCCACTGGTCACGTCTTCTCACTAGAACTCCGAGAACTCCTTCACGAAGCTAGTCACTAGTGAGCACATGTTAATTACTAGTATAGGGGATTAGTATTATATACTGGTCATATGCAGTACAGTGATAAAGATCTGATCAGATATCATAAGATCTCGTCGGATCAAATAAAACATCTGACATATACCAAAGCGTATAGATTAATCATATATTTCTCTAAAAAATAGTTCCTCGCTCAATGAAGTATAGTAGTTCATATTAGTCTTAGAATCAAACAAACAGTGTGGAAGTGACGAGTTTTGCACACAAAAACGATGTTGAATGGCTGCTTTGCGTAAAATATAACAGATTATCACAAATCGACCTGAAATTCTTGAAGTTCAATCAATAGTTCCGTTATATAAAACGTTTACATTAGATCATTATTATTATCACTAATTCATTGTTAAGTAGAGTAACAAAGTTAAATATTGGATATATATCTTGGATCTAAATGACCAATGAGCACAGTAAAGCCGGTTTATATATTCAAATAATTTAGAATTTTTCTTTGAAGTTTCTAAACAAGCACAAAATAGATCGAATAGGAAGACTTTATGATAATTAATTCAAGACATGGTAATGAACCATATTATTTATTAAAGTTTTAACACTTTTTAGGTTGGAGATATCATTCTCTATCCTATGAATGATTGTACAGTAGAAACCACAGTTATGAAACTAGGTTATCAGTGTACATTCACATCATTAATAAATTGCCCCTAAATGCCATGGTACGACCAAGAGTGGAGAGAGTCTGCTCTCCCTCTAGAAATGCTCTCACACGGTCACGCGAATATTGCCTTCTCATGGCGAGGGTGTTCTTTACGAAATTGAGAGGATGAAAAGCGAATATCTGGCGCTTTTACCGGTTTGGTGGATATGAACGGTTCACACAGGGGAGCTGGAAAACCCTGATTCCAAACCAATGGTGTACATGGGCTCCACGATCCTAAGGAAATAAATGGCATACGAATCAGTTATTGGTCACCGACTACGATGGGACTGCATCGCCTTACGACGCTCCACTGCCTTGTAGGTCAGACCTTTAGGTCGAGATTCCGGGTGTGGCCCCGTAAGAAAACCACTTGCTTCGGTTTGGGCACCTGGACAATATCACAGCCCTCACACATATCAAATGAGATCTGTGCGGCACATATGTATTTGGTGCCTCCTTGTACCAATATCTATGTGTTAAAATAAATAAATAATACATTAATAGATTACACATTACTGAGACGCTATATTTATTCTAGTTTCAATAATCCACCTAAGTAATTAACGTTACTAAACAATCCTTTATAATAATATTCGTAAACTACTAACTACAATTATTAGCAGATATATTTTAAAGTCTGTAATAAACACAATAAGTTTATGAAATCTAATGAATAATTTTCAAAATTGGTTCAAAATGAAATGAAATAAAGAAATTTATTTCTAATCTATTTATACGATAAAAACAGATTATATAGAACATTAATAGTAATATTTAAAACAGAGGTCACCATAGTAACGAGTAAATAATAATACGCTAGAATATGAATGTCGATACATTCAACCTTGACTATTCACATTTCATGTGTAGTATGTATTGGATGTTTACATAACATCAAAAATAATTCGTAGTGTACAAATACACATGAGGATCTTACATTCCACAAAGACGAAGGAGTAAACGTATTTCAAATGTGACTAACGTATTAAGTAAGATATAGTAGGAACTGAATAAAATATTATGTCTGTAAGCGATTGATATTTAACCAATTCGAATTGAGCCGATGAAGAAACTGTGGTTGGGACAGGAGGTGAGAACAAACTTAATATTGTTATATAAGAGATTATATTTTACAACCTGATTTCTCTGATTCAAAGAAATCAAAATGATTGAGTTCAGAAGTAAACATGATAACGATTATGTATGTTGTTCAAAACCAAAGAATATTTAAGCGCACTGCTGAGGAGTTCCACAATAGAACGAAACGGCCTTCCAGTGCTTCCAGGTTTTCCATAGTGGTCTAGCTTCAACTGACTAATGATCTTAACCATTGAAATTACTATAATATCCACAAAACCCATCTGATACTAAATAAAACACTCTACAGTTATAAAGTGTATTACAGATAGGCAAAAAAAGACATGCATTTAGTGATATCGTCCTATTACTATTGGTATCAAACAAATTAACAATAAATTTAGAATAAGTTAACATTTCGTGTTGTTGCCGTATGAAATGAAGCTGTTCGTCCATTAAGACTCCTTTGTTAAGATCCCAGAAATGGTGTAAAACACTGGCTGGACATGTTATTCGATATGATTCAGAATACAAGTCATTAACGATAAAGTTGTACATTCTTCATAAAAGTGTGATGAACTTCCTTAACTGAAAGATAAGTATTCCTTTGTTATATTGTAACGTCAACATCATCTACTATAAAATACAAAACTTCTCCTGACAATAATCCCTTTCCCATCTTGATGGCGTTATAACGTTACCTCTCCTAATGTTATCATTAAGTAATTCTTGTTTGATGGAGAATAAATAGTTTAAACAACAACGAAAATTGTGTATGACTAGTTATTAAACAAAGCAGATACAAAATATAACGGTTTATATCACTATAAACCTTTTCATTATCACATTATCATGAATCTAAAAGTTGGAAATTTAGGTAAAAGCATACTTAAGGGATATATATTGTATAACTGAT